AATTAGAACATGCATCAACTTCGAACTCATTTCAATCTTATTTTTCCTGAAATCCAAGTGTCGTACAGACATATTAATACAAAAGCAAATTAGTCAATAAATCCGAATTTATTAGCGAAAAATTAAAAAAACGTATTCCAAATCAAAATTTTATGACTTACACAGGTTGACCACAGTGCTTCTAATTAAAGTACAAAATTTTCAATAGCACAAGTAGATTCTAGATTCTACACAAAAAAATTACCCAAATTGCAAATTATTATAAATCTATTTCAACCATTTACTGAGATTATAGAAAAAATACCTTTTAGTAGAAAGCATTTTCGGACATGGTCCATAGAATTTTTTTTTCTATTTTTACCTTAGAATTCACCCTCTCATAACCCTTTAACGGTTTTTGCAATTTCATAGTACTTTTATATTATAAAAAAATGTGCTGTTTATGTGMCATTGTAGTCAAATAGAACGTATCCTAAACACAACTTTAGGCTGTGGATTCCTGATTTATGTCAATTGTCTGCGTCTATACATGTGCTTGTGTATTGTTTGATAGCTACGAGGTTGATAAAGATGCCATTTACGAACCTCTAAGGGCCCTTTTGGACTCGGAGGAAGTCGATACGTAAGTAAGTCGCTTCCTAACGTCCTCAATCCCTTAAAGCGACAAATCGACCTATAATCGCTTTCCAGATATACGGAAAATCGTGCTTTGGACGACCCAGAAACCAGCGAAGAAACTGAATTGATGAGTGGCGAAATCACGACTTTGAATGTTTTTAAACAGATTTTTAATTGTGGTAGACAAGGATCTCCTTCGGAAGTTTCCGAAAGAATCGTCAAAGTTCAAGTTTGTCTCTATTGCCTTCTTTGCATTTTTATCGGAATCTGTGCCATGCAATTGAAGGATTGGATCAGAAATGATTCTCTATGGGGTATTGTAGTGTCGGGTGTTGTGGTCGGGTTGGCTGTTTTGGTTTTAATGTCGATTACGACACAGCCACAGTCGAGGAAAGAACTGTCATTCAAGGTGATTTTTTCCTAATGTTTGATTTTTATGTAAAGAAAATTTCAAGGTTCCTTTGGTGCCTTTAATACCGGCCTTGAGTATCTTGATAAATATCTACTTGATGCTTATGTTGGACACGAACACTTGGATCCGATTCGGCGTTTGGATGCTTGTAGGTCAGTATAACAAACCCATTTTTTTTTCTAATTCCCTCAAATGCACGCTGTAAATAATACGCATGGGTATTCAGGCCTTCCCACTTACTATTTTTCCATCCAATCTCATTCCGATGCACGAAATGAGAGTATATGCAGTCGTGACTCTTCCACCAAACCGAACAATAACGTGAACGGTTTCACCAATCACGCCTATGTGAGCGACGAAACTTTACCGAAATTCAAACCACGAGCACCCGAACCACCCATTACGTCAAACATCGAGGCAACCATCGCCGTCCTGGATCTAGTGCTCGAAAATGAAGAAGCCAACATTGACGAAAATCTAATCGATCGCAGAATTTCTATTGACACTACCTCAAACGCTTCTAATGTTTTACGTGAAGAGAGTGTCCAAGCTGTTGTGCATTGTGAACAAGCCCCACCTCTCGACCAATCCGGTGACGTTGATAATCCCCCTCCCGATCCTGACCCCGCCCAGTCGCCTGACGTGACTCCTCCCACGGAGAACGAAACCAGTGAAGAAGAAACGCCTCCAACGCCTCCACTTGTAGAGGAAATGCCACCAGTGCCCCCACCCCCTCCTCCCATGATGCCAAAAATGGGCACTGTGTCCATTCCAAGGCCAACGTTAAGTGAATTAAGTACGGTTAAATTGACACCATGGGAGGATAGAAAACCGGCAACGCCCCCTGTTGACTACTCTAGACAAAATTCAATGGCACCTGATAATAACGACAATATTAAATTTGGTTCGCCTCAATATAAAGAGTTTCGCGAGTATTTGAACCAAACATTGCAACACGGAGGTTACTCTCCGACTCCGATATTTGATGTAAAGAAGAAACCGTTGCAAGTTAAAACCGAACCGGTTTCGAATGAAAATGTCATTGAGGATAAGATCGATCGAAATGATGTGAAGCAAAAGCTTGCACTGTTTTTGGAACAGACTTATAATAATAATAATGTTGTCAAAGAAAACGATTTTAAAGAAGAACATAAGGTTTTTGAGAGTATCAACAGCAAAGAAGAAAGTCCTAGTGGTAATTCAGAAATTCCGCAGCGTGTGAAGAAACACGCAAAAGATGACAACGATTACGATCGTCTGCGGCATAGACAAAACATGGATAGCATTTTCAAGAGTATCAGGCTAAAAAAAGTAGACAGTTTTAAAACCAACGAATCTCAGTAAAGTTTGATGTTGATTTATTGGAGATTGATATTTGTCTTTATTTTTAAGATCCACTAGCTTTGGATATTATGAAGTTGGAGAACACCAAGCTTTATGTTCCTATTCCTATTTATGTTGCTTTTTTGTTCTATCCTTTACCTTTCTTTCGCTTTGCTTCTAACTGTTGCATGAGATTATTTTCTAATAAACGATATTAAAGAACTGGAACTATTACCGAGTTCTTTACAGGTTTTCTTATTTACGGATTTTATGGCCTTCCATACAATGTAAGAACGTTCAGAAATTATGAAAGATTAGAATGAGTCTCCTGTATTAACTCTATTTTATATATATAAATTGTAGTTTGTATTAATAAAATATATTTCTTATAAGAATTAGTTGGTTTTTATTGTTTCCAAGACATGACGATAGTAGTCTGAGTGAAAATACGGGGGAAACTTCCTATTCCTGATCTGAAACTTATACTCGTCGCAACTTTTCTTCCACTCGGTTACGATATCCTGAACCGTTTTTCTATCCAAATCCAGACTTCTGTTCAAACTACTCGTAGTTTGTTCCGACTGTTGCTCCTCTTGCATGCTCACTTGATACAAACACTTATCTTGTTTCAACTCTTCGGAGTGGACAGCACAATCCAGAATTGCCCTAATCCCATCGAGCAAATCTATCGAAATTCCAACACTCTTCCTCTCCAAAAACTCATCCAKATCTGCAAGCACTTCCGGATGGTCGGCCACGTTTTGAAACTCCATCAAAACCCGATATGTCACATAAAACAAGTGGTTTTTGACCGGATGTTTGAACTTCGACAAGCAAATATCCTGGTTGTACATTTGCGACAAGGTAAACCTCCCSGGGAAATCCTGACACACATCAGTGTAAAACTCCAATGTTTGTTTTTTGGTCAACTTGTTCATATAGTTCACGACTCTGCTCCTACAAGACTTGCTTTCTCGCATTTTGCTTTCTATCGCACCGTCTTTCCAGAGGAGGGTTCCCGGGGGGCCGCGCCCGTTCAAAATGAACAGTTGTTGGTTCTCGTTTTTCCACCGATGGTCACACCCTTTTTTATTCACCCCCGACTTGACATAACTCGAATTGATTTCGCACCGGCCTGAAGAATCACACGACAGGTATTTGTCGTAACTGTCATACACTTCGAGGAGTTTGGAGGAGTGGTCCAGGTGTATTTTGCAAAGACAGTCGCCGTCGCAGGTGTCACAAGTCTTGAGGAAAATCACGTAATCCGAGCACACCTCCAAGGCGATGTCTTTTCTCGTGGTCATAGTCACGGATTCCTGACTCGCTTTAACAACCCCATCTTTGAGGAAAATCTGAGTCGATTCTTGAACCCCGTCGTAGAGGACTGTAATGTAGTCGGGGTGTTCGAATTTGTAATTGATCACGACGGAAACCCACCCTTCCACTTTCGGGTTTGTGCTGATTTGGATCAAGTCGTTTTGGATTTCGGGCCAGGAGGTGATTTTAGTACCGTCGGGAAACTGGAATATTCGTTTTCCYCTTTTGTCTATGACACACTTCATGCCGTCTTCTCTCTCATAGAAAACTTCTTCGGCGTGGTAATCGTGTTCTTGCACGACATAATAGAGCTGTTTTTCCGTCACTACACCGTCAGAAACCGAAACTTTCCTCCCGTTAAAGTCTAGAAGACTCTTCTTCTTGTATGGAATGTCACCAAATTCGTACAAATCGACGAAATCAGTTCGTACTTTAACTTTGGGCGAGTCGGAGCATCGAGACGGGCGGTAAGGACAGTTTTCTTCATCTTCAGTTTTAAAAACTTGAGCAATATTSCGGATACAGTCACCAGSGTTACATTCATCTTCATCAGTTAATTTTATTATGTCGCCGTTTGAACGAAGAATTGTCGTAGACCCGTCACAGTTTTTTACCACGATAATACCATTCGAGTAGAAGATTCGGTATTTCTCTTTGTAGGTACTAAACTTGTACCCTTGCTTCACTTCTGCCACTGTTCTGTTCCTCGGGAGAGTACTTATRAATAGCCCATTGGGGAGRGTTACTTGAAAATCGTACTTYAGGGGCCCTTTCTTCACCATTTTATTGATGTGAAGTACGCTGTAGCCCCCAATTTTGCGCTTTTTGTGAACTGGTTTGAACAAGACACGTTTCAAGGTACTGACCAGGGGGACAAGCAAAGGCGAAGATTTGCGTTTCAAGTGGTGAAGAGACGACTTTGTTGATATTTTATAAATCGGGCTTTGGGTGTAAACTGCCACTTTGAAGAGTTCCAAAAGCCGATCCAAATTCCCCTCGTCGAGTTTCACTCTTTTATCCAAAATCGGCGTTTTTTCGAAAAAATTTGGAAAAGTTTSCAGTATCTTACTTTTACGCAAAACTTGCAACCAATAGTCGTTGTAATTTGGGACCCCTGACTGTGTTTCTTCTCCAATAATCGACTCTYTACTTGATTTTTCCTCAAGTGGGACAACTTCTTCACTTTTTTGCCCAAATTCAAGGAAATTGACTATAGTATCATCMCTTAGAACGAAATTRAATTTCGAGGGCCGTTTTGAATGGAAAATTAAAGTGTTGTCRTCTGCTGTTATACCAATGGTACATTTTGGGTCCTCTACCATGAACCTTGAAGTATCAATGGTAACTTTAACACCATCGTCGCTACGAAAAATGGTCGTGTGACCCGTCAATTGGCAACGTTTCGGCCCCAAATCATACGCGACAAAACAACCATCCTCAGTGCAGTAACTTGTCAAAGCTTCACTCTTGGGATAATCAAGCAATTCTTGAATTGCCCCACTGAAAACTCTCTTTTTTTCTTCCAAAGTTGCCCCACTTGACGCACCCAATAAATACTGGTACTCTTGGTACAATTCTGGGACGTTTAARTTGCCCAAAYCCTCACATTCTTCAATTTCTTCGTTTAARTCTTGATGTTCGGCGAGTTTGTTTTCTTGCAACCATTGTTTTTCTTCAGTTGTGACAAATCGGCAAAAGTCGCGCAAACAAACGGGGGTTTTTAACGACTGGTTCCARATTTTCGTATCGATTCCAAATTCGTTCAAATTATCGTGGAATTTYACAAGAATTGATTCGCTTTCTTCGCAGAATTCGCGCTCCCAACACGAGTAGTTTTTYATCGCTTTGAAGACAAGTTGGCGAAGAACTGAAGTTGATAAGTCTTCCTTCATATGGTAGTATTTGATAACTTCGTTTTCGTCGGGTTCTGAATTCGAGTCGCCTTGAGGGATCGAATTTTGGTACTGTTTAACTTCATTGTAAACTTCCAAATCTGGACTRAAACTACTTCTTGGGGCGAATTTAGTCCTTTTCATTTGATTAAACATGGCCAAGTGGAAATAATCAAACAAGTCTTTGGTATTGTCACAATAACAGTAATCCTCAGTGGAAATTGCCCGATTTTGTTTTTTTACTCCTTTCGACACCAATTGGATTCTAGTCAAAGGTGGGAGTAGCTTTAAGTATTCCAATGTGGTGTCATAACACACCCTTCCGATCTCTTTATAAGTCTCTAGACACGTTTTTAGGACATCTTCTTCGTGCACTTGATAATTTTTTTCGGACAATTCCGATTGAGTCAAATCAGAAAATGAATAAATCGGACTTGACTCGTGACAAACTTCTTCAACCAACGCTGCCACAATTAGTGCAATGTTTACAATATCAGGAGGGTAACAATTCATAATTGTATTATATTTTTCCATACCGTCAACACCAACATTTCGAAACTCCCCCAAATCGTGCATTTTGAGTGACTTGATGTAGACGAGATGTTGTCGTTTGAAATGATTAATTCTTTTGATCAAATACAAAAGTTCTTCTAGATTTTTCTTTACAGGGCTTTTGTCGTCGCTTCTGTATTTCATCCAGACAGTACTCTCCAAAAAGTGCGACGTTTTGGGAGTTTGGAACAAGTTTTCCAACTTTACGATAAATTCCAAAGGGGCTTCTTGTCCAGTCTGTGAAGAAATATCGATGACAGCCGACACCCCCGCATCTATTTTAAACAATTCTTCAAACACCAGAGGKTCTGAAAAACCGCTCAGAATAAAATACGTGACATGATTGTCGATGTTGTAATCGAAAGTTACTTCGTTTTCTTTGAGGACGATTTGGGTGTAGTCCTCGATGGTTTTTTCTTGCTCCGGTTTGGCTTCTTGCAATTTTGGAACGTTTTTACTCTTTTTCGATTTATTGCTTTTACTTGACTTGTCCTTTTTTCCTTTTTTGTCTTTGCTTTTACCCTTTTTCTCCTTCGATTCACAGTCCTTGAGGAGGCCCTCAAGTTCGTTGTGAAGTTCCTGACTTCGTTGCATATTTTTCACCTCCGAACTGTATTTCTTGTACAAGGATTCGATTATTTTCAGTTTGGTCATTACCGATAAAAAATCGAGTTGCAAGAAATCACTTTCTTGACACTGCTTCAACACCAATTCCTCTGCACATTGTTTAATGGGTTTAGGTAAGTCAGCATGAGTTTTTTGCGACAATCTTTCCACCAAATCCATTACATCATTGTAGGTCACAAAATGGACGTCCGATAAATACTCGTATTGCTTTCCAGTTTCTATAATTTGGTTAAAAAATTCTTCATCTTCGATCGTAAGTGGAGTAAGAAACTCGATTTCTAGCAATTTTTTTGTGCAGAATTTATGAAACGGCAAATAGGGTAACGTTTCAGCCGTGTACGTTGACTTGGAAGAGGGCAATAAGTTTCTTTTGCTTTCTTTTTTCATTTTTGACCAATTTGAAATCAGCGCCTACAATCATGTGTCAAAACGCAGTGGCACCAACACGACTGATTTCCATCCAGTTTAAATAATTCGAAATAATTGCATCAAAAGTAAGTTTAAGGTGATGAAAATATGTATTTTTGTTGTTAAAAAAAATGGTTTGTTTAATAATTAAATGCGTTTAAGGGTGAAAGGTGGCACATGTTGGTGCCACTGCAACTTGACAGGTGTCACGTATTTAAGGTTAGGGTTTGGGTGAATCACTTAAACATTYAATTTTTGCGAAATGGCTGATCCGAAATACGCCAATTTGCCTGGAATAGTGAGTTTCTTGGATGAGTCCWGTGTTTTAGATAAAAATTTTGTYATTTAAAGGCCCTCGACGAGCCCGACGTTTACGAAACCAATGACCTCCCAGAATCCGAACAAGGTGTCGATTTTTTCGAAGAGGAGAACGACGCGGTTGAACGAATCCACATTTCAGCTAGCGAAGCTTTCAATAAATTCAAGGGAAAGTTTCTCAAAGCCAATAATGTCGATTTTTCGGAACGAATTAGCAAACGAATTAGGACGGGTTACGACGCACGTTCCGGCGACTGGGAATTGGTGGGTGTCGGTGAAAATGAGACACCTTTGCAGAAATACCAGAGATTGCAATGCGAAATGAAGGAATTACTTGAAGAAGTTAACAAGYTACAAGCGAAAGGACCTGGAGACGACACCAATTGTCTCGTTTCAAGTAATCAAGTGGAACAAGCGCTCAAAAAACTCACCGACTTGAAACTGGAAGATACATTAGGGGCCGAAATCGTTTCGAGCATTTCTGACCCACAAGGGACACAAATCAAGTAAATTGAAAATTTCTCAAGATTTATCATTATTGGGAATTTTTACAGAAAGTTGCTGTCACAACTGGAGCAATTCAAAGCGAGTGCTCGTGAAAAAACCGAATCTCAGGCCGAAAGTGACGGTTCCGGTATTGTTTACCAATTGAATTACCGGCCAGAACAGGCCCGTTTGGTTCAAACCACTCGAGTGGCTGAACTYGAGGGGCGTTTGCATCGTCTGGAGTCGGTTATGGGCTCTTCCAACGATAAATTGACTCGATTGGCGGCCGCTACTAATAAGGGGACTTTGTTAGAGACAGCTCAGTATTTGAGCGCCACCGCTAGTTTGTTAGATTCAGCCCAGTTGGATCACATTGAAGGGCGGTTGTCGTGCTTGCAGCAAAAACTCGACGCCATCGCCGAGAAAAAGAAGGAAATCGCGCAAGACGAAGAGAAAGATAAAATGGTATGTTAGCGAAAACTTTTTTTCACATTGATATTTCTTAATGCACAATTTTTTGTGGTTTTGAATGTTTTCGTGGACAAATATGGAAATTTTTTCTTTTGTAGGCTTTTTGAAGTCTCTTTTGTACTCCCTTTATCTCTTCATTTCTCTTTTTTTATATCTATTACCCTAAGAATCTTCCTCCTTCTCTTATTCTCTAGATTTTGTCTATTATTTATGTTCTTTTGTTTATCTACTTTTCTTTTCCGTATCCTCACTCTTCGTTTTCAATTCTGTTTTTCAATTCGTCTTTCTTTTGTTCAATGTTCTCAACACATTCTTTACTTATTATTTTAACTTATTTCGAATACTTCCGTTATTCCTTGGTTACTTCTTTTTTCACTCCTTGTTTTCTTTAGCTTCTACCTCCAGTAATTTTATGAAATAATTTTTTCGTTTTTCTTTTATTTCTTGGTTTAAATATCTCGATATTTTTTCCTTCCCATTCTTCCATTTTCCTAGTAATACGAAGTCTTTTATACTGCCTTCTGTTCTTTCGTATTCCTATTCCTCCATTYCCACTTTGTCCTCTGTTTTTTTCAGTCTATCTGTTTTTTTTTTAAATGGAAATGCCAAACAGTCTTAACGTTGGTATCACTAGTAAATTCATTCATGGTAATTTTAATAAAGGAAGTTGGCAGTTCCGGTTTTTTGAATTAATTTGAAAACAATGACATTAAACATCAACACAAGAAAATTTAGAGACGAAACACCAAAAAAGGAACAAATTCGGTACCGCTAACAGTTTTTCGAAATTTGGAAACGAATAGTTCGCAAGCAGGAAGTTAGAGAAAAAGGGCCCGTTAAAATGTAGACGCAATTTGTAATGCAGTTTTGCTAAACATTCTCAATTTTTAGCAAGAAATTGACAAAAATACTAAATAAACATGGATGAGAAAGAACCTTGGAAAGAGCGCAATTAAATTAGTGTCTTGTGCATCGTTTTTGAGGAACGAGTTGAAAAAGTAACAATTTTGAAACTAAAGCTGAAGAAAAAATTATAAAATGCATCARCTTTGAGCTCATTTCAATAAATTACACAAAATTTATTGCCAATCATCATAATACCCACTTGTATCTTTTGCTAAATAACTTTTTTCTGTATATACATCCTTTTTCTTCAAAGTTTTTGTAGCAAGAATCTCATTTTTATCCACAACATTGTACTTACTTGCGGTGTGTTTCTGTCAAAATTATTAGCACTGAATTCTGTCTTTAGACCTTAAGTAATGATGTCTGTCCTCAGGTAATCAATTACAGCGCTTTCAAAGAGCAAATAGGCACACAAGATTCATAAAAGTCAAAATTTTGACAACATCTCAATTTGAACACAACCATAATTTTTTAACAAAATTTCTAGGGAAAAGAACAAAGAGCAAACAAAATTTCTGGCTATGGAGACAAGCTGCTACCAATTTTTTCACCAAAATTTTGACTTGGTAATTTCCATTTAAAAAAAAACAGACTTTATTTTTTGAATCCATCTTAATTTTATATCCTGCTCCTTTTTTATCATTTGATCCCTTAAGTCGCATTTCCAGTGAGTAGTAACCCGATTCTACACTTTCTTTCATTCTTTTTTTTTTCGAAAATTTAACCCAGAATAAAACTGCTTGTTTCAAAGGACCATATAAAGTTAAAATAAGTACCAAAATCAAAAATTCATAATCCCAARCAAAAGTAATTTTGAGAAATAAAAAACGTCCCATTAAACATTAAAAACTTCAAAACAATGGATTATAAAAGTGGTGTTTTCRAATTATTTAAAAATTGAGGAATTATGAAGATATTTTGTTTATGTAATTGTGTCGAGAACTTAAAAAGTAACTAAAGTTCAGAAAAGTTTAGAATATAAATGTAGAAAGAAGGTAAACGTATGAACGCTAACATAGAAACACAAAAATTTAAGAACATGAAAGGTATAGTGGGGTAAAAGCTAGAAGTACACACCTGGGCGGGGCCTAATTGCGCGTTGAGATAAGAGGGGACGCAGATCAGTGGCGTCCTTTCTCAAATATTTCGATAATAAAGCGAATCTACACGCCACTGCTTCCAAAAACTCCCCGTCTCCCCYTTTTTTAAAGGCGTAACGTAAGCACGTATTATTATTTCAAATAAAATGCTAGAAAAAACTTAAATAAAATATTTATTGAATTAACGTAACATAATATACATGTAATGAATGTCTTGTGTAAAAAACAGTTAAGGTTTTTCATCATCGTAGAGATATTTTTCAAGCAACCCCAGAACATCCTTTTTGAATTTGAGTTTTTTCCTCGGTGGTAAACTCTGGCAGTCGTGTATTACCGACATCATGAAATAATGATCGGATTTATTCTGTACTTGACTCGTTTCGTTTTGTTTRACCGCTGATGATAATAAAACTTCTTCGTCTAAGAAAGATTCGTGGTAACTCACATCGGACAAATTCGATTGTGTTTCGGATTTTATGTTTATACTTTCGTGGGTTTCACTGCTTTGAGTGTCRTCGTTTAGGTTGAATTGACTGGTGCTGGCTTTACTCTTCATCGCAAAAACTGAAGATGTCATTCTGGAAATGAAAATTGAATTATTTTCGTGTTAAAATAGTTTGTTTAAGTGGACTTACCTGCGTTTACGGATGTGAGGCGCTAACCATATCATACGGTCGAATAATTTGTACTTGTTTCTGATTGTGGGGGCTAGAGAGGGATAGTCGGTGTATTCTCTGTAAACTCGGACGAATCTGTCTCTTAAATTCTCCCACCGTTTTTTCACTGAATTTACTGGAAAATCAAATTTAGGATCATACATGTATTCTCTCATAATTAAAGAACAAAAACAATAAGATAACAAGATTGCATTTTGTAACACCGTTTTTAGATAAATTCAAATTCGTCATAGCAAACGCGAAGTAGAAAAGGATGTTATAATTCGGACTTGATCTAATAAAATACAAAGTGTTTATAAAAGAAGTATACAGAGCGTTGTCAAAATTTTTATGAGCGTATGTCTTGTAYAGATTGCTACGTTTAATGAAATGTCAAAACATATACGATATAAGGTAGGTAAAATATGTAATGATGTTCACGAGAATGTTGTCAGTGCTGACTTTTTTGAAAAAAAAAAGATATTAAGCAAAATTTAACATAAGACATAATCAAAAATTGTTAAATTTGACAGATATTGTTGTTACTTCTTAAGACATACGTTCGTGAAATTTTCACAACACCTTTGATGTGCGTTCTTTTATAAACACCTCTTGTATCTTGTTTTTTTTTTAATTATAATATACAGGGTGTCCCACCTACCTGTTTAGCAACGGATTCTAACGAAATTTAAAATGTATTTAACAGGTAGAGATTAATATCACATTACTTAAACAACCCTAGTCCTTAAAATAAAATTTTAACATGCCTTTAAAAAATGTTAAATTACTTATATTATATATTAAATTGTTCTATATTAAATTGTTAATCGAGAATAAAAAATGCCATAAGCAAAAATCTGTTCTTGAAAAAGGTCCCGCTTACAAAAAAAAGAATAAAACTGTGTAAAAAGTGATTGAAGATGCAAAACATGGGCGGCTATAAGTAAAAGAACGATATTATCGAATTTTAATCACCCCTGTATTTGACGTTTATCGTTTCTCTAACTTCAAAAAGTTAATAACGTAATTTAGTAATTGCATTTATTAGGTACAACAAAAGATGCTTTAAGGTACCACCATTAGCATCAATGGTACTAAAAATTCTAAAGGTGTTCTATCTTAATTTACCACAGGTTTTCAAGGTTGTATAAAATGCTACTTGGAGACGTTTTAGAGTTACTTTGATAAAATTCTTTCAAAAATTTGGGCAAAACTTTAATACAAAATCGACGTATTTCTGCTGATTGAGTAGAGTGATTTAGTTCGTTTATTTGTGTAGAGGTCTATTTTTTAGTGTTTAACAATACAATAGTAGTTTCGCTTAATTTTAAATTAAGAAAAGATATGTTAAAATTATTTTTTATCTTGAGGTAATTTTATTAATACTAATTGAATCTCCACCTTTTAATTTGCCTACATTGTAAATTTCATAAAAATCCATTGGCAAATAACAGAGATATTAGACCCGAAAGTCTTACGTGGGACACCCTGTATAATTTTTTTTTAATTATAAATTAGTTGTAAAGTAATACCATCCATATTCATTGTTTTTGCGATGGCGTCCCAGGACTCCCGTTTGCGTTTGCTGTCTTTGTAAAATTCGTCGCGTTTGTCATACAAATTGGGATGTTTTTCCATCAGCGACACTAAATACTCGTCCACATCCATTTCAACAATTCGCACTTTTAACACAAAACGTGATGAAATTACATCGAGAACGCAGCGTCGCTCGACAACTGTAAAGTTGAACTTGAATGACCTTCGCGTTTCCGTTCCCGTTATAGGAGGGAGAGGGGAACGATAAACGGGCCGTATACGTTACGCGATCGATATTTAACTGAAAGGACGGTGAATTTTAATTCCAATGCAAATGTTTGTTTGTTTTTCAGATTCTGGAGCTGTACGAGGTGGTCAAAAACAGTGAAAAAATCAATAAACTCTTACCGCAAACAATTGAACGTTTGAAAGCATTAGAAGCATTGCATAATAAAGGTAAGTAAATAACTCGTGTGATAAATATTTGAACCTTTTTTTCAGCTACCGATTTCGTGAAAACTTTGACGCAGATCGAAACCATTCAAACGGAAGTTCAGGCAAACGTACAAAACAACAAAACTCTGCTACAAGGCGTCCAGGAAAGTTTCGCAATGAACTTAAACGAAATCAACGCAACTGTGGTTAGTTTAGACGCTAGGATTAAAGCTTTAAAGAAAAAATAATTTATAGTAAAGTAAAAACTAATTTATTATTATAAAAATTGTAACAATGTAATTTTTTCTATTTGTTTAATAAATTAATGTCATTTTATTGACTGGTATGAGCAATTTGAAACGTTGATAAGTTTGTTGCACATCCTGGACAAGTATGTAAAATATCGTGGACGAAAATGTCGCAATTGATACAAAATATTTTTGCACAATTCGGGCATTGGTACACCTGAAAAGCACATTTGTAAAACCCACAGTCTAAATCATCGATAAACCTGTTTCTCATTTTCAGTGAAATTTTTTTGACAAGCGAAACAAATAGGAGTTTGGTTGTCGTAAACCACTTCAGTGTAATTAGCAGCTGGAAATAAATGGTGGTAAGATCGTGCCAAATGTGGGGCTGAAACTAAAGTTAAACCACAAGCACGACATTCGACCGGCAACTCGCAATATTTGCTGTAGCACTGGGGGCAGTAATAACCCCCAGTGTTTAATTTACTTCCTTCATCGACACTGTCCACGTGGCTAAAATCAGGAATTTTCAATCGTAGTGTTGCAATTTTTATGTTAAAAAATTTCCTACCACATACACATCGTCAAGGGCTCTTCCGTGCCCTCGACAGACATCTGATGCGGAAAACCCATTTTAATTAAATTCGATTCGAGTGTTTGTGCTGCCGGGGGCGGATCCACTTGCTGATACAGCAAATCTTTAAAATGGCAATCGTCCAAAATAACGTTGTACAATCCACCCGTTTGATTCGCTAATTGTCTACAGACGTAGACCTCAGCTGCCAAGCCTATAACTGAACACCTGACCCCTTCTGTCTTCAACATCTGCAAAAACATTCCTTATTTTTACAAACTTAAATTGGGTTAAAACCACCTGAATCGTTGTAGTGATATCCCCCGGGTCACAAGTGGTTAAGCTTCCCATTATCACCAAAATCTCTCTGCTTGCATGCGATGGTAATAATTTCAAAGCTCTGAAAGCCATCTCAATGCTGTTTTGCAGTGATGGTTCGCCCACAAGCGAAGTCTGTTTAAGGTTTTGCACGGCTTTGATGTGCTTCCGGGCGTTTCCGGCTAAATCACTGATTTTTTCAGCCCGTTTGTTGTGCATTATGATGATTCCGAGTTGGCTGATGGGGTTTTGGTCAAAAAACTCTTCAATGAAGTTTTCCAACAACTACAGGAAAAAAACAAAATCTTCACAGGTTTTAATGTTTTTACTGACTTTGATGGTGCAGAGAAGGCGGGTGGGCTTGAGATCTTGACTCGACATGGACTCAGAACAATCAACAATCATGAATAAATGTCTCATCATTCCTAGCTTGGAACTGCCCTGCTTCTGTGACTGTCTTTTTCGTTTAGCCCTTTGGATAATTTCTGAAACGGAAGCTTCGAGAAATCCATCGTCGTCTTCCTTTATAGCTTCCCTACAAGTTTGTGGGGTTAAGTGTACAAAAGTTTAAATTTTAACACATACCATGTTTTTTCGTATCCGGTCTCCCATCGGTACTCTTTTGGGTCTTCTTCATCCACCATTGTTGCGGATTAATAACGCAAAATTCGATTTTTTCACAAAACCGACAAAGTTAGGTTAGAAATGTCAACAAATAACAAAACATTTAGTAACTTTCAATTTCTCGTGTTGGTGCAGATAGATCAAATTTTGAAACCGATTTTTTAATTTCGAGTACTATTTCCGAGTAAAATCGGGTCCAATTCGATAATATGTGTTATTTTAATTGTTTCAATTTTTTCAATAATGTTTACAAGAGGTGAGAAAAAACTTTTTTGGTTCCACACTGGGTGTGCTATTTTTGTTGGGAATACTGTAATTTTAATTTCAGCCAATGGGCGAGCGCTATTCTAATTTAAAAACTTTTTGCCCCTTGTCAAACTGTAACGGCATGGTTTTCATGTTCATTTGAGTTTCTGCTTGAAAATCGTGGTGTGTTAACTTATCAAAACAGAAAATGGGGAGCAAAGAAAACGTAGATCTTATGGCTGAAGAATATCTCAAAACTGTGAACATTCCTCCACAACTTCTAAAACCCGCTACAACTCTTGTGAAAAAAATGATGTCTCACGACTGTTACGCAAACCCCGAGTAAGTTTTAAGTACAGAATTGTACCACCAATTTCATATTTTTTCTAGTTATGAATGGTCTTTGAATGACTTTGAGCTGGGCCAAAAATTGGGGCAAGGAAAGTTTTTATCACAAGAGAAAAAAAGACTGGGATTATTGTCGCCCTAAAAACAATTTTAAAAAAAGAAATTGTCGAGGAAGGTGTGGAGAAGCAAATTCTGCGTGAAATTGAAATTCAGTCACGTCTCAAGTAAGTTAACTGTTTTGAAACATGTTATATCTGAGAACAATGTAAGTTTTGTTAGGTTTCGTTTAAAAACATAAATAAAATCGGATTGTTTTATTAACAATTAAATTGTACGTGAGACATACAACATTGTAAAAAAACGATGCATTATATTTTTCAGTGGCACCATTAAAAATTCTTGATACTTTTGCTACATTTTTGTATTTTCAGGCACCCAAACATCTTGCAACTCTTTTGTTGGTTCCATGACAGCCATCGAATCTACTTGGCCGTTGAATATGCCGCCAAAGGTGAACTCTACAAGCATCTCCAGGCAGGCCAGGGGGGGCATTTTACCGAAAAAGAGTAAGCAAATATGGCCCATTCTGTTTCATTAAACCCAGATTGTAGAGCCGCCAAATACACATACCAAGTAGCTGACGCTCTAAATTACTGCCACGAAATGTGCGTCATTCACCGAGACATAAAACCTGAGAATTTACTCCTGACGCATGAGGGAGACGTAAAGTTGGCCGACTTCGGATGGTCGGTCCATTCACCATCGTTACAACGCGACACGATATGCGGAACTCTCGATTATCTACCGCCGGAAATGGTCGAACATAGACGTTATGGGAAGTACGTAGACCACTGGTGTTTAGGCGTGCTTTGTTACGAGTTCTTGGTTGGACATCCGCCCTTTGAATCAGAGACACAAGATCAAACGTACATGAAAATTCGACTCGTGGAGTTTGAATTTCCAGAGTGCGTGCCAGATGGAGCCAGGGATTTGATATCAAAGGTACAATATTTTATTTTTTTTAAATTGTCTACTGTATATTTTTACAGCTCTTGACTAGGTCCAGCCACAAGAGACTTACCTTAACCCAGGTGATGAGCCATCCCTGGATTGTTAGCAATAAGTAATATCGTCTGTATTTTAAGTTTTGTCAATTTTGTTTATTATTAATGTTACCCCAGGCGACGAGCCATTAAACTGTAAAGTAAAATTATTGAAGGTTCAATTATCGTCCCTTTTCCAAACCTATAAAACCCTGATGAGGGAATAACAACGTATCGCATTTATTTAATAAATATTTACAAGTAAATTTAAAAGTATAAAGCGTTATGTGCACACCTGACGCACCTTCCGTCTCAACAACACGATAACATTGTACAATTTGATCGCAGGACCGACTTTGACGTCTAAAATGTCAATCAAGTCCCTCTGACTCAGCGATAAGAATGCTTCACCGTCTATTTCAAAATTTCGAAATTGCTCACTATTATTTTCCGACCCTGGCAAAGTTGATACAAACTCAACTACCGTATTCACATTCCAACGTAAAGGATTCCCAACATCTTCGACATATTCCTGCAAAAATCTACTATGCTTGTCCCAGGTTTCTTTAACCGCAGGCTCRACATTCGTCTCGTCGATGAAACCCTCAATTTTYCTAATTTTCGAATCAGGTTGCTCCTCTTCTTCTTCCGCTTGTCGTTTTAACCGTTTCCGGTATTTCCTTTTCGGTTTTTTCACCTCTTCTTCCGGCTCTTTTATGCTGTTTTCTAATTTCAGATATTTGGGAGGTCGACCCAATCTCGGCTTTCTAAAACAGCAAAGTTATTTCCAAGTCCACGTTATTTACTAATCATTACATTTTATCCCTCGGCTCTCTAGATACAGGTACCACGGCCTCGACTAACCGATCGGGTGTTAATAACCGATCTGGTAGAACTCTATCGACATCGATATTATCTTCCGCATATGGACAATACTTTTGTTCGGAATGGGTAGCAAATTTGGGTCCTCGTATATGCCCCATTCCTCTACACCCCACAGTCGGACATTCGAGAAAGTCATAGACATCATCAGGTGCTAAAAACCCAAAATTACACAAAATCAACAAAAATACGAGTAAAACTCACTTAAAGGTGTCTCAATCGGGTGACCTGTCTTTTGACACCATCCCACTGGATGTATGTCATCGTGATCAGCATCCACCCAATAACTATACCTATCGGGCCACCCATCAAAATGTATCCTGATTTGATGATCTCTGACGTCATCGACAGTTGCCACTCTGATAAGCTGCGGTACTCTTTTATCAACACACTCTAAACGCATCCCCCGTTTAAAACCGCAAGCTGGACGTTGTTTAAACGCGCGCACGGGTGCTGCCACCGCTTTAGTCTCTTTCAGGTACTTGGCCCAGGAGAAAGTCTCCGGATTCGGGTAATCTACGAAYGTGTGTGGGTGTGAAGCGGACCGCAGACTAAACACGTAATTTTTACCATTRGGTGGTGTCAAGTTGTGGCCGTATTGGTCACACCAACCGACTGGATGTATGTAAGGTGACGTTGGATCAGCCCAATAATCGTAAATGTCGTCCCAACTGTCAAAATGGACGAGGATTCGGTTGTCCATCATGTCTTTGACGGTCGCTACGCACACCAATGATGAGTTCTTCTTATCTACGGCTTCGAGTTTCATACCGACGCGAAATCCGTTCGGGCATATCGCCTGTAAGAAACCCAATTAGAACGATGAAATTGTTTCAAAAAACTCTTACATTTCCTGCTCTGTTGGCGAAGAGATGCTTGGGCGCTGCCGTCGACTTGGTCTGCTTCAAATACCCCACCCAATTGAAGCTTTCGCTGGTGTAGCCAGGTGGCGCTTGTAACCCCCGTCCGTGCTTCTCACACCAGCCAGCCGGGAAAATATTCATACTATCCGCATTGGTCCAAAAATCGTAATTTTCCGGATATCCATCAAAGTGCAACCGTACTCGATATCCGCAGATTTCCGCCACYGATAAGACGCAAAAATACGACGGATGTTGCGGATCGATCCCTTCGAGTTTCATTCCGGGCCGAAATCCGTTTCGACTGTATGGAAATGGATCTCTGAAGAGTTTCACAGGTGCGGCTTTGGCTTTGATGTGATCGAGGTATTTCGTCCAGGAAAATCCCTTTTTCGAACAAGTCCATGGATAGGAAAACTTGTCTTGTGAATTTTCATTTGAGGTTTCGTCGTCGCTGCCGCTTAGAGGATCCGATTCGACTTTCTTCAGTGGGAAACCACCGCCTTTTTTCTTCTTCTTTTTGATTTTTAAGTCGCGATCGCGTATTTGTTTGTTGTTACCGGCATCTTGACAGTCCAAACTGCAGTATTTTGAGGTGATGAACTCGGATGGGAGACCGTAACAGCCGCATTCGACGCAACGAAGGTCCTCTTGGAACTCGTTTTTAACCTAGGAAGAAATTTTGACACTAAATAAATTGCGTATTAAAGATTACTCATAAAAAAAAAGTTTTAGCATGTCCTTGTAATAGCATTAAATACGTTAAGTAGGTACTCACAAGATACATTAAACTTTTTGAATTTACTTTAATTTTATGTTTCTGTTTCTACCACAGTAAAAAAACGTGATACACGTTATTTTGCATTGATCATTGATCACAAACCTCAAGGTTTTTTTATGCAAAAAATGCAATAAATTATTGTAACGAGTTATCGGGAAAAAAATCTATAGACGCAACTCTGCAATTTACAATTAAATTAAGTAGTTCAACACCATAAAAGTTAAAACTTTCGAGATATAATGTGAATTTCAGTGTGAGTATTATTAATTATTCATTGGGCCTAAGAATGTTATTTGCAATTTTTTAATAGAATGTAGTAGAAAAAATTGTGTATTATACTCCACTTAATGTAATAATTATCGCAATGCAATGTTGATAAGTTAATTTTTTTGAAATGTACAATTTTTGTACATACTTTTTTGGTTTTTTAGTTGACTTTACAATAAAAATAGCCACTAAAATAATCAATAAAAACTTTATTTTCACTTGTTTTGTTTAAGTTGGCTTATTTCTCAATGAAACTGACTCTTATTTTAAAATGTTTCAATAAATTACTTAAGTTTGAAAAGATTTTGTTACAAAAAAAAAATTAAGCTTACTCTCGACAATCTCTCTTATTTTAAAAACTTTTGCTAAATTATTTGCAAGAAATTGCAACACTAAGCCCTAAATCTGCTTTTATAGTAATTTATTTTTCGATTTCGCTATTTTTTTTTCAACGAAAATCTCTCTTACTTTAAGAAGTTTAATTATATTTAGTGTTGAAGAGTTCTTGCATAGAAAATATTCAAAAGATTTTTGCACTTTAATTAGCATTTAAAAATTAAACACAACTTAATTGTGCCCTAAAAGAATGTTATTTTTCATTAAAACTGTAAACAATATGTATTTAGTTATTTATTCAATCCTCTATGTTAATATTGAATTTTATCTTTTCTTTATGTTAAAATGAAATTTTATCATCTAGATGATAAAAAATACATCCACTGTTGTATATCTGCGGTTTTAGTTGCTAGAATTCATTGTTGAATTTTACTTTGACATTTATAAATATCGACCAAATTGACTACAAAATTAGTGAAGATTGAATAAAATTTTATATTGTACACGACGATAAAATTTTCATTATCTTTTCGAGCATATTAGCGTCAATTTTATCGTCTTGTATAATAAATAACTATTATCGTCGTGTATAATATTTTGTTTTATTTTGTACTCACCTACCAGACTTTCTTGTACAAAATAAAAAATATAAACAGTAGATAAAAATTACTTTATTTCACTAGACGGTAAAAGACTACCTTATCTACTGAAATTATTTGATAAAAGCACTCTTTAACATTGAGTACAAAATAATAGTTATTTATTGTACAAGACGATAAAATTAAATTTATCTTTGAGAGCAATTTAACGTCGAGGCGTCAGCCGAAAATTTTATTCAATCCTCACTAATTTTGTAGTCAATTTGATCGATATTTATAAATATCAAAGTAAAATTCAACAATGAAATCTAATGTCAAAAATCGTTAGCAACTAACAACCGCATATATACAACAATGGATGTATTTTTTATCATCTAGAGTCTAGATTCTAGACGATAAAATTTCATTTTAACATGAAGAAAAGAGTAGATAAAATTAAATTTTAACATAGAGGATTGAATAAAAAAAATATTGTTTCTTTTCAAATATTGAAGATTTTTTTACGATTAGAAATAAATTAATAAACTATTACTCAAAAACAAAAACATTATTTGTCCAGAAAGGAAAAGTATTTATTTGAAGTTTAACGAATTAAAGGTCACTCAAAAGGATTGAAGTTGGAAAAAAAATAAGTCTGATACTTTTAACCGTTCTGTAATCATAACACAAAAATTAATGAATTTATTCATGAGTCTATTGTTTAATTCCGAGTTTCTTNTTTTGCATTTTAAACTTAATTGTGCTTCAGAAGAATGTTATTTTTCATTAAAACTGTAAACTAATATATAATAAAATGAAATTTTATCGTCTAGATATTAAAAAAATACATCCACTGTTGTATATCTACGCTTTTAGTTGCTAACGATCTTTGACATTAGAATTCATTGTTGAATTTTACTTTGACATTTATAAATATCGACCAAACTGACTACAAAATTAGTGAGGTTTGAATAAAATTTTATATTGTACACGACAATAAAATTTTCATTATCTTTTCGAGCATATTAACGTCAATTTTATCGTTTTGTATAATAAATAACTATTATTATACAAGACGATAAACAATCTTTATCGTCGTGTATACTATTTTGTTTTATTTTGTACTCACTTACCAGACTTTCTTGTACAAAATAAAGAATATAAACAGTAGATAAAAATTACTTTATTTCACTAGACGATAAAAGACTACTTTATCTACTGAAATTAGTTGACAAAATCACTCTTAACACTGAGTACAAAATAATAGTTATTTATTAGGTATACAAGACGATAAAATTAAAATTTATCTTTGAGAGCAATTTAGCGTTGAGGCGTCGAGGTGAATTTTATTCAATCCTCACTAATTTTGTAGTCAATTTGGTCGATATTTATAAATATCAAAGTAAAATTCAACAATGAAATCTAATGTCAAAAATCGTTAGCAACTAACAACCGCAGATATACAACAATGGGTGTATGTTTTATTATCTAGAGGATAAAATTTCATTTTAACATAGAGGATTGAATAAAAAAAAAAATTGTTTCTTTTCAAATATTGAAAAGATTAGAAATAAATTAATAAACTATTACTCAAAAACAAAAACATTATTTGTCCAGAAAGAAAAAGTATTTATTTGAAGTTTAACGAATTAAAGGTCACTCAAAAGGATTGAAGTTGGAAAAAAATAAGTCTGATACTTTTAACCGTTCTGTAATCATAACACAAAAATTAATGAATTTATTCATGAGTCTATTGTTTAATTCCGAGTTTCTTACTGGTTTTTCCCTTAATTAGCAGTGAATGATTACAAACTTATTAAAATTTGTAATTTGTCAAGCTTAAAATAATTAGGACAGAAAAATAAGAAAACATGAATTTAGGTTTCGATTATGAATAAATAGATTTCAAAAARTCATACCTTAYTGGCTTTAGCCAGMCGCTTCTCAATAATCTTATCATACTCTTCGGTTGTGACATACTCGATCAAATTAAATTCGTTAACTATAAACTTCAGATCACTTCCGGGCAAAGTCCCGATCCCTTCCTCCCACTTGAGAATCTTCTGCAAATCAAAATCATCGTTCATATTAATGTCCGTTTTCTTCTCTTTGATCACTTCAATCTCTAAAAAATCATCCTTGACATGCTCCTTATCAAAATGCTCCGCATCTTCCAACTTCGTCAAAGTCACATCCGGATCCAGATTAAACTTCTCCTTGCTCTCCACAATCTCCATGTCGTCGTAATCCTTCCTGTAGGAAAAATTCGACTTTCTCCTCCTTTCAGTTTTCTGCAACTTAACCGGATCCGGATCTAGAATTTGACTGGTATTAGTTGTGGAATTGCGCGGTTTGTCCCCTTGATGGTTTTTTTTAAGGATGGAAATTCCGTGTTTGAAAAATTTCGGAATTTCTTTGCGCTTGTCGTCGAAACTGAACGAATTCGAATCCTCCATTATGGACAATTCGTATTCTTTCTCGCTCTTAACCGGGCCGTCTAAATCAATTACCTCGTCGCAAACTAGATTAGTTTCATCTTCTTTACCCGAATCCTCCTGGACTTTAACGTTATTTGTGGGGAGTAGAGGCATAAACGCGATTTTCGGCTGCAATGTGTTGGTAGTGACGGTCACCGGTAGGCGATTTTTTATCACTTTGGGCATGGGTGCTATCATTAGTTTTTTGCCCGGCTCAGATTTCGTCTCGGATAGTTTCGTCAAGGGCTTTATCATTGTCAGATACGTCCCTGATGACAATGTCACTGTTTGCATGTTGCTGGGCTTGTGAATGACCAACTGTTGGCCCTTTGGGACGTTCTTGACCGGAGTCAGAATGACTCCTTGGTTTGGGGGGGTTTTGTTGACGATGTTGGGTAGTGTCGCGAATTGGAGTTGGGTGTTGACCATGTTGGGTTTGCTGATGGACGAAAATGGAAGTTTTGACTGTGTTTGGATGTAGACCAAAGGGACTACTTGAGTTTTCATGGGGTTTGTCGAAATGATGGAGTTTTCCGAAGTGYTTGTGTCGAGCTCGGGGAGAGCTTGGACCACTTCCCCCGTTTCCGGACCCCTGGAGGACATTGCGCCAATTGTGCCCAATGCGGCCCTGTCACAAACGAAATTGAAAAAACTACATCCAAACCCAAAAAATTTAAAACAAAATGATCTTATTTGAAACAAATATTTTTGTTAAATTAATTGCAAAATCAAGCTCCAGATAAGCTTTTTTGGTTGAATTTTTCTTCGATGTAGCAAATTTTTTCAACGAAAAACACTTCGCTTGGATGTGAATGTTGGAAAAATCACATCAAGTTCGATTTTTTTTTTGTTTTATTCTAGCTTTAATGTTAAAAAGTTACTTTTGCAAATCTTATAATGACTTTTCCTTCCAGGAAACAAATTAAGACAAGTTCTAAGGTTTCCTAATGTGAAAATTATTTAAAAAATTGTTAATATTCAACTAATATTTGTCTTTTTGTTTTCCTCAAATAAACTTAAAAAAATTGGATTTATTTAAATCTTTATTCAAATCTTTGTAAAATTACTGCTAAAAATTCGAAATCAGCTAGTTTCGTTTGGGTTAGCTATTTTTTCAAAAAAAAAAATCGGTTTTATTAAAAAAAATCAATAAAAAGCCACAATTGTTTGATTTGGTATATTTTTTACCAAAAATAGGCCTAGTTATTTTGAATGTTGTAAAAAAATGCATAATGTAGGGTCTAAACATTCATTAAATATTGTTTCCAAAGCTTTACCTCATTTTTCAATATACATTAGCACAAAACTTTGAGAAAATTTGTCGAATTTAGTAAAAAATTGCAAAAACAACCGCAAAAAAGCTATTTTGGAGTATTTCGTTCATAAACTGACTCTATTCTTAATAAATCAATACAACAAACTGAAAAATCTTGCTTATTTGGTCAAGCTTATTTAAAAAAAGTCCCACTTATCCCAAACGATTTCATTGCAAATTCACAAAATCATCATAATTATCATTTTAGAAATTTTTGTTAAATTAATCGCAAAGCAATCGCTTTTTGATTGATTTTTGTGCGATTTAGCTAATTTTTTCAACAAAAATCTGACTTCCTGTAAGACGTTAGTTAAATTTTAAAAACTCACAACATAGGGGTACAAAAAAAATTAGCTAAGTAATTAATTATTTTTCTAACAAAGACCACGTCAAATAATTAGGTAAGTAAATACGTTTACTGCAACAATTATGAAAAGAAAAAATATAAAGGAAAAAAACAATAACAAGAAAGTGTAAACATTCTCTACTCAGTGACCAAATAAAGCGAGTATTTGGAAAAAGTGAGGTTAATTTTCCTCCGCAGATATCGAATTAATTCGCAAATGCTTGTAAATGGTTATTATTTCGACTTTTTGCCTGAGTTAAATTGAATTAAATTTGAACAGTTCCAGGTGTGTTATCAATTATTCCCCGAAACTTTCTCGGGTCCGGTCCTGTCTCTAACCTTGTTTCGAGCAACAAAAGAAAAATGTACACAAAAAACTCAATCTTACCTGTTATATAACTGTAATTAGTCAATAAAATAAATACTCAGATGGTTTTCGGCCATCCACGAACGGTTATAATTTTTTTTCATTGACAAATCACCAACACAATCTTTTCCAATTTTGCGCGTGCGGAGGGCTTCCGAAGCCCCCAAAACGTGTCCAAATGGCTGGAAAATGCTTCGATTTCCCACTGAAACCGTGTTTGGGATTTTTCACGTGCGAATTATTTACGAAAAGTTTTATTTCGTGCCGATCACTCCAAAAACAAGATTATTCGAGCGCATGCGCGGTCAGAYGCGGAGGGTTGGGGGGACATTTTAAATGCGTTTCCCGCCCCCGAATTAATTCTTTTCACGCARGAAAATTGCAAAATTTGGGGAAAATTCGATCGAGACCGATTMAATAAAGACGGTTATATTTCTTTGGGGGCAATCTGAYGTTTTCCCCGCGACCAAAGGAGCTAAAATTCAATTTAAGTTTCGGGACAAAAACACGAGAAATGGTTTTCGCAGCCCCAAACCATGTTTTGTTTACACTTTGCAAATGGTTTTCTCGTGAGAAATCTGTCTAACCGTTCCAGACATATTTATTTTAGTAATTCATAAACGTGACCTTTTAGATAAGTTTACCTGAATTTCCAAAGTCGAAAACGATGAAATACTTGTACGGAATTGATTAATGTGCAAAAAGCAACAGTTTATCGGAGAAATTTCCTCGTGCAGTGTAGTGAAAAGTTCAGCATTACATTTTGCAGGAGTGATTATGAGCTGAGTTAATTTCGGGTCCACGTCACACCAAATTACCCAGATCTGTAAAAAAACTGACTCGTTTTAGTATTTTTTCACAGAAGATTTGTTACAGACTCACCTATGAATAAATTTATTATTTTCTAAAGTATTTGTTAAATAAAAATTGTTGGATAGCTTTTATTATAACGAATGCGCATGCGTCGTCACCGAATGAAATCACTAGACAACGTTGCCAAATCTACTGTTTTTAACAGTTCATTTCTTGCATAATCCATAAATAAATAAACTTTTCATCAGTTTACTGTTTCTAAAGCAAAATTGGAGGATTGCCTATTTTTTAGCGTATAAGGAAAATTGCAAGCATAGGTCACAGAAGAGACTAAAATTGACGTCTCTTCTGTCTTAACTTTTCAATGTTGCCAACTAAATTTCAAACATTAAGCCACTTTTTAAGCAAAAACTCACTTTAACGCAAACCAAGGTTCACTCGTGCTAAAATTAAAGTCTAAATGTTATAAAACTCACATTTTTAAGTCAATAAAAATACAATACAACTAAAATTTCTCATCAGGGTGGCCTGTGAGCCAAAAATTAAATTGGTTAACACCAAACATTACAGCAAAACTTGTCACTTTGTATATCTTCTGTTTTTATACCTGGTACAGTTGGAGACAAAATACTTTGGTCGTCAATGTCACTTGAGTGACATTAAATTGTAAAGTATGCTTTAGGACTGTTAACCTTATTTTTAGCTACTGTCAATCATAGTTGACAAGTTGTATGTACATATTTTTGATAGGAAAATATAACAGCTGTCATTAATTTTAAATTGTCATTTATTTTAACGTTAAAGCTTGAATTACATTAAAGTGTCAAAAAAGTGACGACCAAAGTATTTTGTCTCCAACTGTATCAATTCTATTGCCACCCTGGCAACTTGCAACTGTGCTTTTTTGGGGTAAAATAGGTCACAAACATTTGATCTGTGTAAAAAAGAATCTGAGTAACAGAACAAATTTAAAACCAAAATACTCTATGTACAGAAACCAGAAACAATATTATGAAAATTGACAAAATGGTGATTAAAATGGCCTGACGGATTCAGTGTCGATAACTTAATTTTAAAATCGCAGACTACTCAATAAATTCTATTAATTCAACAATGTCGGTTTCAAAATAACAAAATACATTCACATATTATATTTTTAAATTAAATTTATGAAAGGTAAAACATTTTGGTGCAAAAATTTAAAATTAGTTCTAGCGACGTGGCAACCCCGCGTTGTATCTGCCATTACTTCAATCTCAGCTGATTCCGTGTCGACTTTGTTGTCGTTTCGAATTTCCAAAATTCGCATAAAAGGCCACAATCCTTCATTGTCACATTTCAAGAACAAGTGCTCCAATCTGCCACTTCTTCTTCGCCCCCCATGAGCCCAGAAATTTGGTGATCGGTCACATTTTTCGACCGCTTGACGTTCCAAAGGTAAACAAATGTAGAGTTTGTGACGCAATTTCTTATTGTGGTTTTAAGATGGGGGCCGGCGTGAGCGCAGGCGAGAACAACGACGATCTCATCGACAACCTCATCGAGGCGAACTACATCAAGACGTCAACGGTGGAGAGGGTGTTTCGGGCCGTGGACAGGGGCGCATACTTCCTGCCGGAGCCCCCAGCGGACGCCTACAGAGATGTGGCGTGGAAGAACGGCAATTTCCACATCTCGGCCCCGTGCATCTACAGCGAGGTCATGGAGGGGCTCAAACTGCGGCCCGGRTTGAGCTTTCTCAACCTGGGCTCCGGCACGGGGTATTTGAATACGGTGGCAGGACTGATACTAGGTAAAACTGCAAAAAAATAATGTAAATATGAAGGTACATTTGCGTAACTGAGCCATGAAAACAAGTCAAATTTGATGGTCAAGCGATGTTGAAATTTAAGATTTTTGTAGTTTTGATAGCTGATGTAAAGTAAAATTGTTTTCTTTTTGTCTAAAATTCTTGAAATGTTTTAATAGTTTTTGATGTAGTTGTTATTAAAGTCAAGTATTTTAAGAAATTTAAAAAAGCCAGGTGGTTATTAAGCTATTAAAGCTGATTTTTTTAAATAATAGCTTGGTAAAACTCTACCACTACTTTAGTTTTAAATACGGCCCTGTTTTATTCTAGTGGGTGCAGCAACACTTGCAAAGGAACGTGCCATTTATGGAGGGTTACAAATTCAAGCCATTGTTTGGTTAATCCCTTATAATGTGTCATAAAATTTTTAGTAGGTCTTAGGAAAACGATTTTACTTTATTCTACATTTCTCCTAATTCATAGTGGCCATTTAATTTATTGCAAAGTTGGCAGCCCCTAGCYCGTCACCTCTAGTATGTGGTATWTGTGTCTATGTTGGCAGCAGAAGTAACTAAATTGTATCAACAATTGCGACAGGCGTAGTAGATTTTATTATGTGAAGTATTCTTCAGAATACATTTTTGATAGATATGTCCCTAAAAATATAACTGGATGTTTAAATTCGAATTTACACAACTCAATTTTTACAAATATAAACGGGGAAGTGGCCACTCTGAATTAACCGCGACTTTACATTATGGGGTTCATTTTTTTTGAGAAAATATTATTCGTTAAACCGTATCCCGTTGCCGTCTTTTGTTTTCGACTTACAGGCAAAAGTTGACATTTTACCGAAATCTAAAAAAAATCGTATCTTCGTTATTATAGGCGATATAGGTATCTTATCTTACTTGAAATTTTTCTATGGGGCGCGAGTTCTGACACAGCCTGTATAGTCTCTTTTTTTACGAGGAATTTAATAATGTAATTACCAATTTATTCATTTATTTGTTTAGCCGTAGTAAGATAAACTTCAATTTTTTTAAATGGAAGTCATATGGTGGCTATGTCAATCTTGAAAAGCTTATTTTTTTCTGATCTAAAAAGTATACCGAGTGTCCGATCTCAAACTAGAACATAGGGAAGTAATTTGAATGCGATTTTTAAGTAAAGTCGCGGTCAATTCATAGTGGCCACATCCGTGTGTAAATTTGTAAAAATTGAGTTGTGTAAATCCGACGTTAAACATCCAATTGTTTTTTTAGTGACATAGCTATCAAAAATGACAATTCTAAAAAAGTCGGGTTAGTATACTTCGCATATAAAGTCTATTGCGCCTGTCACAATTATTGACATTTCTGCGACCAACTTTGACAAAACCCACACAATAGAAATGGCGGGCCTAAGTGCTGCCAACTTTGAGATAAATTAAATGGCCACTATGAATTGACCGCGACTTTATTTTGTCAATTTTTTGATAATACAAAATGACAGGTGAACAACAAAAAGTATTAAGTAATAAAGAAAAATTAAATATGTTTTGACCACAGAAGTATTTTCTGCATTTGAGTATACATTTTTAATTAACAAATTGGAAAAAAAACTTTGGCGTTTTTGACAACAAGTATCGCATATTTATTTCACGTATTGATAAATTTCAAACTTGTATTTTAAAGGAAAAAAAAACATTATTTTTAGAATCATTCCATGTGAAATAATTTAAATCACATTTAAATTTATTCAACATAAAAATAAAATAATTAGAACTTGGCTCTGGTTGTTTGTCAATTTACTTCATCAAATAAAATACAACTAAAAGAAAAATGCATAAATACGAGTAGATTATCCAAAATTTTCTAAGTTCTGGGTTTTCGATAAATTTGAAATAAATTAAGAGAAATTGAATGATAGCCAAATTGATTTGGTTTGAGAATTGCGAATAGGTTTCGATTGGACTAACGAGAATTGGTATTAGTTGTACTTCTCTCACTAGCACAGGTGGGTAAATTATAAAATGTTATACGCGTCCCAGAGAAAAATGCCATGTAAAGTGAGATACCAGCATGGAAAAAATGTAAAAAACATATCTGTCTATAAAAATTTCGAAGTTATGAGTGTTTAAATTTTGCACTTTGACTATTTTTTTTGTTAGAAAAATAATTTTCCAAGTTTTGTGCTACAACCTATTATAATAGAAAACAAGGAAGCTGTATACTAAATTGTAACACTATTTAATGTTATTTGTGGCTTTTATTGGCAAAATTTTTGTACCTTTAATAATTATAAATAAGTGGCAGGGATACAACGTCCTAAACTGCCGGCCTGCAGTCGAATTAATGGGTTAAAAGGCTTAGAGGAACTTTGGTTRTCAAAACCTTTTAAATTTTGGGGTCCGAAACAATTTAAATAATAATTAGAATAATTATTATGAATTAAAGATCATTAATATGTCATTTCTAAAGAAATGACAAATTTATTGCGACCCTCCACACTTTTAATAATGTTGACTYTTACCAGATGTTAATAAWACTGTAGCTCCTGGGAACGTAAATTCAWTTAGATAAAATAAAAAAATACCCATCGCTTYGCTTCGAGGATATTACAGTACTTTACGTTTTTTTAATTTCAAATTGACATTCAGCACCCTAAAAAACAACCTCTTTGGTCTAAAATAATGCGGATTTTTTTCGTCTTCTTTCTTTCATCGTCTGAAAGAAACAGATCGGAGAATTCCCTATAACATTGAGCTACTTTGAAAAGTGTATCCGGAAWGAACATAGAGACTTGGTTGATTTTTGATTTTTGGTAAATGACCATTTTTGTTTGTTAATTTTTCTATTAGGCAGCTAYGGTATCAACCACGGCATCGAGCTRCACGACGACGTGATCCAATACGCCTACCTGCGTCTCGAGGAGTTCAAGAAGCATTCGGGCGCCATCGACGAGTACGACTTTTGCGAACCGAAATTCATGCAAGGCAATTGTCTCTGCTTGGCCAGTGCCTACCACTTGTACGATCGCGTCTACTGCGGAGCGGCTTGTCCCGAGAAGTATCTAAGCCACATAAAAAATTTGATCAAAGTTGGTGGCATTTTGGTCGTACCGATCAACGAACGTCTCGTCGAGATGAGAAGAGTCTCGGAAACGAGTTGGTCGACGCATTATTTGCTACCTGTCTCGTTTACAAATCTCGTCAAGCCGGAACAAGGCACTCAGGAGATCGTACCAACATGTAAGTGGATTTTTTCGTAGAATTGGATTAGGACTGTTTTTTTTTAGTTGACATTGAACCTTTGTCATTGCAAGAATTGTGCAGGACCACGATTAGGAATCTATTGAGGAGGATTATTGAAGTTGAACATCCGGCTGTCAAGAATGTTAGGAAGACGAGGAAGACATCCAAGAAGAAAAAACCGCTTAAAAAGTGAGTAGGCTAAGTGGAAGTTGGCTAATATCTTATTTTTTATAGAAATGGTAGGAAGGACACGAATCCGAAAACATCCGAAGAACTCCTCGACTTCTTCTTACTAACAATTGCACGCAAGAAGAGACGGGAGACGTCCACGGCCACTCACGATCATGACAATTCATCAAGTTCTGCCAACAACGACGATGATTCTGAGGGACCATCGTCAGAGAGCGATGATTCTTCTTTGGAGGATCCGCTTGAGACAATGCAAGAAGCTTTCCACGTTTTAGACAGACAAACTAATCACGTGGTGCCCTCAACAAGTAATTCGGTCGAAGCTTGCAGTAGCAAGCAAGTCGAAGATGTGAAAATCGAAAGCCAAGTCATTATACATAGAGAGGCCGACGAGGAGCGAGCCGAAAACAAAGTGAGTTACAATATAACAGTCGAACCGATGGTAGTAGAGGAAGCGGAACAGAACGAGCGTAAAAATAACAGAGATAAGTTCGATAGTGGGTTAGGTGACGAATTGCTCATTTCTGAATTGCCTGTGGATATGGTGGAGGCAATGTCGAGCAGTAGCGATGACGAGCAGAGTAATAAAAGGTGCAAGAGAGGCTTGAAGGAGAAAGAGAAAAGATTGAGTTCAAAATGGCGCAAAATCGATAGAATTGATACGCCGAAAAAATGTGATAGTGATGATAGTTCAGACAATGATGATAAAAGTGATAGTGAGAGTGATTATGTAGATGCGATGAATAGAATGAAGATGTACATGAGTCCGTACAGTGGACACATGAAGAGCAAGATTCAACAACTGCCTCTACCATCCAATGTCAAAAAATTTCTCAACTTTTACAGAGAATTTTAATTACGAAACTAATCAGAGACCAGTCTTGCGTGTTTAGTTGAATTTTGAATTAATTTCAATGACTGGACTAACCTGTTATATAGACTAGAGAGGAGTTGTTAGGGGCATTCGTAATAAACACTGCAATGTTATCAAATAGGGATGTATCTAAAGGAATTTTATACATTGGTGATATTCTGGAAATTATATGTTAGATTTGAGTTTTACGCATTTTTTCATGTACTCACAGTTGTGCTAAGTTTTTTTGTTGTTTAGTTTGATTAAAGTTTTTGGCTGACTAAAATTTGAAATTTTATTGTACCCCAGTCGCCATTACAGGTTTCTGTAAACGTTAAACATTTTATTGAATAGTTAATCAAATTTTCAAGACTGAAGTTAGAAAAGTGTTTCTTATTCTCGTCCTTGTTGATTTATTTTATAAACAGGAAAAACTTATTTTGCAAACTATAATTTTAGAAGTAAAGTCGGTATTGCAAATTTCTACGTTACCATATTACATAACCTCATTCACTTGTCAGTTTATCGAATGTTTTGGTGATACTTGAAGGTGGAATATGGGGGCCGCATTCGGTTATTTTCCCGAAAGTGGATTTAATCTCTACTTTCATCCAGAAGTGACCCCTGGACCAAACGAAAAACCGACTTTTGACCCACTTCTTGGTTTTGAAAATGGACGTAAAGAACGAGGTATTTACATAATAATTGTGTTTATTGTGTTTTAATCTTGATTTGTAGTCATGCTCGCTACTGAGGAAGAGATGAGGTCGGCGAAAATACCTCCAGAACATAGAGATTACTGCGCTCATCATCTCTTGAAGTATCTGAGTTGTCGAAAAGACAACTGGCCTTGGGCTGTTAACTGCGAGCATGAAAAACACGTCTATTCACATTGCAAATACGAGGAGTGAGTATCTGTGCAGTTTTTCAAAATTTTACCTCGCAACTTTTGGTGGAAAATTAATTGACAAACTTTTTTCAGTTACGTTATCCGCATGAAAGAATACGAACGCGAGAGACGCTTACGTGTGCGTGAGTTCAATAAAAAACAACATGAAATAGCAGCCGCATGAGCTGTATATTTCAACTGGTAGGTCGTTTGTAAATAAATAAAAAATAAAATTAGAAAAACAAACACGTTGGAATTTATTAAATAAAAACCATTAGAAACTTAAACTAAGAATGTCCTGTACTTGAGTAGCACAATTTCGCCTCTTCTCCTCCAAATCCCCTTGCCCTGATAACACATGCGACTGTAAGGCACTGATAAATCCAGTGTTGCTCTTAACTTTGGCTTTGACTTCAGCACTGTGTGGTGAGGTGAGAAGGGTCCCTAACGCAACGTAACTGCGAAACTGTGACTCAGGATCACTCAATTTCGTTAAAATATCTGGAATCACGTCGGCTAGGACTGACACTCCCAAATCGTCACGTTTCTTAAGACTTGCCACGCAGAGATTCAAAAGAAGAGTAGCTAAAGCGATCTAAAATCACACAATAAATGCAAAATTCTCTAATGTTCCCAACAATACTTGTCCGTTTTTATTCAAGGGTCCTAGAGCCGTGATATTTTCCACAACATCGAACCTATGCTCAAAAACCAAGTCCTCTCCATACTCGTGCATCATTAAATTGCATAAAGTGCGCAATGCAACAATTACATTATTGATTATATTACAATTCTCGTTGATGAAACCGAGCAATTTTCGGAGAAGACTTCCGTTATTGGCAGCCGCGATTATTTCGTTGTTCTTCTTAAACCTCACAGCCATTCTTATGACATCAACGACGGGAAAAACGATTTCGTCCGGCCATTCCAACAGTTTGAATAAAGTATCAAAAGCGTTGGGATCATCTGGCGGTCCGGTGCAAAGTTTTACCAATTCGACTAAATAATGTTCGTTCACTGGAGGACTTTGACTATCGCCGGTTTTTTCGTTGAATTCTTTCAATTTGACTAAAATGACTTTGGAGTCGCCCATTTCGAAGGTGCGGTAGGTGTTAATCGGGAAGAATTTGCTTCCTTGACTTGAAATAGTGGACGAACTCACGCTTTGTTTCAGTTGGGTGGCTGATGTTGAGTAACTGCTGCCACCTACGAACACGGAAAATGACACCACTATGCAAATTGAAACTTTTTGAGACTTGTTTGAATTTTTTTACGTGATATGAATAATTTAGGTCACCGTTCTGTTTAGGGTTGAATTCTATCACGTAGGTAAATTGACTATTTTTACSATTTTACTACCGCTCCCCTTCAAAAACTTTAAAAAATCGTATTTTTTTAAAGACCCAATAACGTTTTATGCATTTTTTTTGAGTCTTAAAGACGTCTAGAAATGTAAAAACGTTACATGGATCAATTTTAAAGTTTTTTTTTATTTGATTTTTGTCGAGATTTTGGTCGATTTTCGGCACCCGGAATGATTTATTATCAATAACTCTGGTGATAACCTCTTATGTTTTTTTTATGTATATAATATAATATAATATAATATAATATAATAAAGATCTTATATAATAAAGAACAGTTAAATTGACAATTTTTACCACTTTACTACCTTCAAAAACTCAAAAAATTCGTAATTTTTTAAACTTGACCYAATAACGTTTTATGCACTTTTTTGAGTCTTTAGGACCTCTAGAAATGTAAAAAATGTTATGTGGCATAATTTTAAAGTTGAATTTAATTTTTGTCGAGGTTTTGGTAAAAAATACTCAAACAACTCATATCATGCTGACCAGTGTAATCAATGCAATTCATAGTTCCTAATTTACCTGTAAATGGATCCAAATTTCGCCCTGCGAAATCCTGACTGTTACTTCCAGTACTCGGCGTGTACCTCGAACCGCCTGTAAACGGATCAACATACTCCGTGCTGGGTGGGACGTATTTATCTTGAGTATTTTTCAATATGAAATCAACAACTTGTTCTAAATAAGACGCCGGCAAGAAATTTTTCGCCAAAAAAGTATGCGCCGCTTGATACGGATCATCGCCTTTATTATAAGGCAATTTCAACGGCGGCTTGCCATCCTCCACGTCGACGGTAAACACGAAATCATAAGGTTTTCCCTCGTACATTGTTTTGTCCTGATTGGTTTTGTCCGTACTCCCAAGGACGTCGCCCACTTTTTCCCAATGACTCCTATCTCCATCTTCCACCCACGTGTACGCCACCTATTTTAAAATACATGACTGACCATTTATTTTTTATTTTATTTTTTTAACATTTGGAAAAATATGCGCAACTGCTAATTAGTTTTTTAAACAATTAATTTAATAATTGTTAATAATAATTTGTTATATACAGTATGTTCCCGGATTGATTGATTTTACCCCAAAAAAAGTTAATTTTTCTTTTGATTTTGRACTATTTATTTTTCTCTGTGTTCTAAATCTCTATCACATTCTCGGTTTTACTTTTTTGACAACGATGTCACTGACAAATGAGTTTACGCAAGTTAAAAAACAAAAATGTTTGTGAAAAACACAATTTTTAATAAACGACAACTCAAACATCGTTGTCAAAAAAAAATAAAACCGCCAATGTGATGAGATTTAAACAGCAGAAAAAATCTAGAGAAAAATAACTTTTCTTCGTACTGAATCAAAATAATGAAGTTTTAATTACAAGTTTGCTCGTTTCAGATGAAACAAAAAATGTTTTCCGTTTGCAGTTTTGGCGTAAAATGAAAGTTTTTTTTTTCCTCTCTTAAACTCAATCCGGGGATATACTGTATAATTTTTTCTATAATAAAAAAGATTTAATAAGTTACGAATAATTAAAATTGAGGAAAACTAAACGTTATGCAAAAATTTTCAAAGCGGAACATTATCGAAGAAAAATATTGCGTGGGGAGAAAATAAAGTGTCCAATCTGGTGTAATATCTGTAACTGTTATTAWTTATTTGGAAAACTTTAAAGAATTAACATAATAATTATCTTATTTGCTACATTACGGTTTTTGTAATTATTAGGTCCAGCTATCTAAAATTAAAAAGCACCTACATTCTAAATTCACCTAGATTTTCATAAAGATTTGGTAGTACATATCAAAAAAATCTTAACTAGAAAAACATGAAAAATATTTGCTATAAAATGAGCAACTGCATTAGACTTTGAAAAAAATTAAGACAATTTTTTTAAAACCATATCGCTGTTGTTACTCAAACAGCAATTTCTCTTTTCATAGATTTAAAAATGCGGCGTGTTGTTATCAATTGGTATTTGCAAAATAAATAGCATCACTTTTATTTAATTAATTTTTCAGTGTTTTTACACAAAATATTTTTCATTGCGATAAACTACCATTGCCTGGATATTTCCGTACAGAAATTATAAAACAAACAGTGGAGAATTACCGATATTTAATTTTTTTTCATTTTTGTATGGGTAAAAATCTCAAATTTTGCAAGCTGGCGCAATTTCTATTAATAAATTTTTTGAAAATCTGATTTACGTATACAGGGTGCACCAGAACTCACGCCCCAGAGAAAAATGCCATATAAGGTAAGATACCAGGAACATGGAAAAAATGTTAAAAAATTTTAATCTATAAATATTTCRAAGTTATGTTATTTGTGGCTTTTATTGGCAAAATTTTTGTCCCTTTACTAAATAATTGTAAAAAAACATATACAAGATCATCAGTATCCTTAAATAGATAAAAAAAAAATGTCAAATTTCAAAAAATAAATGTCAAAATTTTTTGACAGAGAATTTTTTAAACATTTTTTTCATGTTCCTGAAAATTACTTGAAAATTTTGGGGCGCGAGTTCTGGCGCACCCTGTATACAGAGTGAAAACAAACTATTAAATTACCATATCCAAGCTTGAATCTAAAATAACGTAATACATGCTTTGACTAAAATTCTTCTAGCATCTTTATTGTTAACAATAAAAAAGTAAAATTGTGCACATTGATAAAGGAGACGRTTTATCGCCCACCCTATTTATAAAAAATGTTTGAAAATGGTGGATGCTCCGGAATACAAAACAAAATAAATAAAAAGTATGGAGCCAAGCCTGTTTTTCTTTAATATTAGAAAAAAATAATTAATAAAAATTTGAGTTTTACAAAAAATGAGATCGTGTTTTGACAAAGAATTTGTTTTGTTTTTGTTTGTGGGATATAATTCTTTAAATGTGTTGTTGTTTAAATAATTAAAATTGGTAAAACACTTAAATGAAAATGAAAAAACAATTACCACTCCTGCGCCCTCTCGGATCATTTTCATCTGCCCGGCTTTTCTTCCCGGATCGTACAAAGCTTCTTTCCCTGGCAGACTAAATTTAGTGTTACTAGTGTTAATAAATTGATTTATACACACTCTGATATTTTATAACCGCCGATTTCTTGAGTGCTTTGTCGCGTTAAAGCTTCCACTTCTTCGTTGAATTTATTCAAAGTCGCTTCATCGGCAAATCTGTCTTCATTTTGGGTGAAAACTCGAACAACWCCGTCACTAGAACCGGTCACCACATCGCCGTTTGATAAACACGCGACTGACCAAACGGACTGTGCCGGCAATTGTATCGTTTCGACGTTTTCACCGTTTTGCCAAATACGAACAGTTCGGTCTTCGTCCGAGGTCACGAAACAATTGTCTCCGGCCGATTTACATCGCGCAATACTGAAAAAATCATGGAAAAAATTGTCTAACAAACAAGAGACAAACCTGTAAATGTAATTGGTGTGTCCATAGAGCACCCCGAGAGCCTCTCCAGTGTACGACCAAACCCTAATCGTCGCATCGTTCGCCACTGAAACGAATTGATGCAATTCGGGCAAATCCACCAAACCTCTGACACAATCCGTGTGACCGGTGATCGAGTGCAATCTTGCACCTTCCCTACTCCAAATTCCGATTGTTTTATCAGCTGAAGCGGTCACAATTCGCAAATCKGATAGTTGAATGATTGACCAAATGGCAGCTGTATGACCCGAGAAAGTCACCGTCGACGTGGCGGTACCCAATGTCCATAATTTGGCAGAACAGTCCCACGATCCGCTCAAAAATGCGTTATTTTCCGACGTGGAATACTTCGACAAGCAGCTCACTGAAATTGTTATTCAAAATTCAGATAAATAACCCTAATGAAAAGTTCTTCTGTCTAGAGATATTTCAAGCAACCTATGCCGTGTGGAGGGTCAAAATTTTGTAAATTGTCGCATTATTTTGATTTTTTAATAATAAATAAAATTCATTTTCTGGTGATGTTCCACTTTGAATTATTTATGATAATCACATAATTGAAAATGTCATTCTTTAGAATAGAGTAGAAAAAATGCTAATAGTTAGAGAGCAAATTTATATGCGAAAAATTTTGCTGAAATATGSACATGGATATGCAGTAAAAAATTACACAAGATATGTGCAAAAATTCAAATAATTTCGTAAAACTATAATGTTGCTGTTCTGACCTAGTGTGTTTTTATGGGTATTCACATTCGAATAAAATCCATATTATTTCTTATAAACAATTTATTTACAAATATAAGATGACTAAATATATCTTGATTATAATTTATAACAATGTGTTTTTCTAAGTTATTTACGAGAAAATTTTGTCTTTTATCTGACAAAATATTTTTATAACCTGAGAAGCTTTTTTCAACAATACCAAATCATCGCCTGGCATAAATCAGAATTAAATTCATCATCAGTGCCAAAATTCTGGCAATTAGTCATAAAATTGAAAAAAATTAAATTTTTTTATATTAAAAATATTTTAAAAAACCCTTATATTTATTTAAATATAGAATAAAACATCATTTTAATATGAAATTATTAGGAAATAAATTCAGGGAAAATGTTATCATTTCAACAAAAAGTCTCTGAAATAAGCTTATAATGTGCACGTTTCTTAGAAATACATATGTATGTAAAAATTTGATAAAAGGCGTAAATATGCGAAATATGCATGCAACATCCAATTAGCATAGAATCCGGTCTCTAGTAATAGCAAAGCAAAAAGAAACATAATAATTATAAAATTAAATCATTTTTTTCCGGCTGATATTCTTTACAAAAATTTGAAAATGAAATGGAGAATTTTAGATTGATAAGAGCAAGATACTGTGAATATACAATTTTTTCTTGTCCCAATGAAGAGTTGCTTGCGTTAGATGTGAAAATCAAATCTTTTTTGTGTTTCTTTTAATTGGTATTTGTAAAACTTTGTGTTTATCTTTTTTGTTAAAAAGATAAATAAAAAAATTCTAGTGTATTTGTTTACTTGTAACCAGAATATTAACAAAATTCTACAATTAAACACATTTAACCGATTATACAGAGTGCGCCAGAACTCGCGCCCCAGAGAAAAATGCCATATAAGGTAAGATACCAGGAACATGGAAAAAATGTTTAAAAAATTTTATCTATAAAAATTTCGAAGTTATGAGGGTTTCAAGTTTGCACTTTGACTATATTTATTTCTGTTGAAAAAATAATTTTCCAAGTTTTTTTGCTATAGGCTATTGAAAGAGGAAACAAGGATGTTGTATCCTAAATTGTAACTCTGTTCAATGTTATTTGTGGCTTTTATTGGCAAAATTTTAGTCCCTTTAGTAAATAATTGTAAAAAAACATATACAAGAAAAAAATGTCAAATGTCAAAAAATAAATGTCAAAATATTTTGACAGATAGAATTTTCTAAACATTTTTTTCATGTTCCTGGTATCTTACCTTACTTGAAAATTTTCTCTGGGGCGCCAGTTCTGGCGCAGCCTGTATTGAAGATTTCGATTATTTGTGTTTAAATTATAATAAGAAAATTAAAATCGTAGAAATTCTAATAAAGCTTTTAAATTTGCCGCCAATTTTAGTTGATAATACAATTGCGAACACGGAATTTTTGACATCTAATTTATGTCAGTTCAAAAAAGCCACGCTTTATTATCATTATGAAACATTATGAAACTAAAATTTTTAGTTGAAATTTATTTTTGGCGTCGATTTCCCGAAACAAGCAATAAGTGTTTTTATACAGGATGCGCCAGAACTCGCGCCCCAGAGAAAAATGCCATATAAGATAAGATACTAGGAACATGGAAAAAATGATAAAAAAATTTTATCTATAAAAATTTCGAAGTTATGGGGGTTTAAAGTTTTTACTTTGACTCTATTTATTTCTGTTGGAAACATAATTTTCCAAGTTTTTTTGCTATAGGCTATTAAAAGAGGAAACAAGGAAGCTGTATCCTAAATTGAAACTCTGTTCAATGTTACTTGTGGCTTTTATTGGCAAAATTTTTGTCCCTTTACTAAATAATTCTAAAAAAACATATACAAAATCATCAGTATCATTAAATAGACATAAAAAAAATGTCAAATGTCAAAAAATAAATGTCAAAATTTTTTGACAGATAGAATTTTTTAAACATTTTTTTCATGTTCCTGGTATCTTACCTTACTTGAAAATTTTCTCTGGGGCGCGAGTTCTGGCGCACCCTGTATAAATGCAATTAAATATTTTGACTTCTTGTCCTTTTTTCTCCAGCTGTTAAGATAAAAACGACAAAAACCGAAAGKAAGGTTAGTTGCATGAGGTCCGTTTTACAATCTTTTATCAGTCGAATGACAAATTGTCCAAAATTCTTTGTCCGCAGTTGTACAACCAAAATATGACCCTASAATTGAAAATTTGGTGACAGGAAAATTGTATTACTTGATTTTCTATATTCAGTACACTCTACGTTGCCAACCGAGTTGCCAATTTAACTTCAAATCACAGACCACTTTGACCAAAAATTTAATTGAATTGTCTTACCCTGTATTATATCGAATCACTAATATTATGTGTTTGTGATCAAAAAAATAATAATTGGCAACACTGAATTATAATTTGTTTTGAATTTGAATCAGAATTGCYAAATTAAGATTTTAAATTTGCCACATAGGATAAAATTGACAATCACAGCCACCCGCTATTTAATTATTATTTTTTTTGCGGTGCCACAAAAACGGTTTTGCGTTCTCTTTTTGATAAGAGCACAATGTGATTATGTTTCGCTTGTGTTGTAAATTCTGGAGTGGAATTCGCTGCGATACACTTTATCGTTGTTGCGTTCGCTCACCCGCATTAGTGTGTTCCTTCAACGTGAACGTCGCAAAAGGCTCAGAGGGTTTGTAAACATAAATCGTGTTGTCATTGCCCCCTGTTATAACCAAACCGTCCGGATATTCACTAGTCGGTTCCAAGTACAAAACGGCAATAACGAAGTTTTTCTGGTCACGGAAAGTTTGAATAGGTGTGTACCCAGTGTCGATCCTTAAATCATCAATCAAAAAACGCTAATTAAGTATCAACTCACCTGTTGGGCGTCCAAAATTTGGCAGTTTTATCACGAGATCCGCTGATTATAGAATTGTTGTTTGTCACGACTACACTTCTTACGTCTAATGAATGTCCAAAAAGAGAAGCACTAAGCTTGAATTTTTTAAACATTTTTCTGGATTTTTCACTATGACGAGCAAGTTTGGTTACGTTCGCCGGTGAGAATGACAGCAATGAAAAAATAGTGAGCTTGCGACCGAAGTATTCTGATATTGAAGTATCGTAATGTTGGAAACTACAGTGGACCAGTAAAATGCTGCACACAACTCACAATTAAAACCAAAAATTAAAAATAAAAAGTTTATTAAAATTAATCAATTAAAAAAACCTACTTCCTATTATTTTTTTTAACTTGACACTCATTGAAAGTAACAACAATTATCAGTTAAATAAAAAGCGGCTGGAATATTTGTGTATTTGACTTTCGAGAAAAAAATTATCGAATTTGTTGCAACACAAATTTTCAGTTAGTTTTTTTTTTAATAAAATTGCAAAAAGAATTTGAATTGTTATCAGTGATGAAGAAGCTCTCACTTGACTACACTTTAAAGCAGGTATGTTGAATATCGTTAAAATATATTTTTTATACAGGGGGTCTCAAAATGTAAGTTGGTTTAAACTTACACCTCGTACCATTTCAATCGTCATTCTGTCACTTCTCATAATGTTAGTTCTATATAAAATAGCGAGTATTTTGGCTCTAAATTTCTCAGTGCCGATCAATTTTTACACAGATTCTTTTTTATATAAAAATCAAATGTTTCTGCTGACCTATTGTGGCAATAGAATTGGCACAAGATATATCTCCARAAATAATCTTTTGTATTTATTTTTCCATTTTTATTATGTTTACCTACTATTTACGATTTTCTAATATTCTAATAGTATACTCTTACATACCTAAATCAACAATAACAGCTATTAAGACAAGAATTTTTAAAAGTGAAATTGTGTATTATTGTGTTATCTTAAAAAACATTCCAACACTAATAATTTGACTAGAAATTTTACTGAATTCAAAAATTGTTACAAAGAAATTTGTCAAAATTGACAAAAACTCAAGATAAGTATATTTTATTCACCATAGAAACAGTATAAGATATTAGTGCTAGAAAGAAATGTTAATTCAGTTTGTTAAAATTATCAAAAATTGTTTTTTTTACAGTAATTTGTAATTTATACAAAGGCGGTGTTTTAATATTATACTTAGATCTAAAATAATTAACGCCGAATTTATTAATATAAGTTTATATGATCCAAAGCTTTGTTATACAAAATTGCACTTAAGATACTAACTGTAATACGAAAACATTGCTTAATACAAATAAATACATGTCATGAATGTAACATTTTGGTAATGATTTGTCAAATGACGCCTTTAAAACCTTATCGTAAATCCTTTAAAATCAGGTTTTGCTAAAGTTTGCCAGTTATTCAAATCGCAGTGGTCGATCTGACTACCTGGAGATCCAGTATTCGACAACCAAATAATCCTGAAAATTAAAAATTAAGAGGAGAACCTTGAATGGCTTATTTATAAACTGTCAATCTAAGATATATTTACGCAGTACATGAGTTTGGCAAACKACCAGTAATTATTTTATCAATACAATGAATTCTTGCTTACATGTGTTCAACATTTCCTCTTGGTCCTTGAAGTTTCCCTTGAATGGTCCCTTTTTTCGTATTTTTGACCCAACCGCTTATCCCAAGTTGTTCACACATTTCTTTACAATATTTGGTAAAATAGACTCCTACAAAGCGATTTTTTTATTTTGTTTTTTGATTAATTGTAAAATTGAACCTTGAACTTTGCCATAAACCTCGAATTCAACCGAAACGAAAGGATCAGGATTACTCATTTTTAAAAGGGTATGAAAACCGCTACAACCACGTCTCCTAACTGACAATGTTTGAGATGGGTGTCCAATTATAAATCTGTTCTATTTAAAACAACAAACATCATCGAAGACGCTAATAGGCGTTATGTAATCAAGTACAAGGAATAATGATACACACTGCATTATTTGAAAATTTTTATTTCACATTTTAAGATATTTCCGATATTATCTTCGACAAACATAATCACAGAATTTTCAGTCAGTGTTTTTAACTGCTCTTCGGGAATTTGGAAAAAATATTTGAGGATTCGTCCATCAAACACCCAATTTAATAAAACCAATCCGTTTGCTTCATTTCGTAATTCGATTACTCTAAGACCTTTAGTTGAGTTTAGAATTTTTGTCACTGGGTCAAATTTTAAGTTATTTYTTTGGTTTGGGTAATCATTTAACCACCTCGAATTAAGTCATCAATTAAAATTAAAAAAAAAATAAAAATTAAGTTACTTGTGATAAGCTAAAAGCACCAAACAACTTCTCGTCCAAAACGTGCCATCTTCTTCATCCTCTTTCATCAAAAGTTTCGTCGTTTTGGTGTCTSCACAACCAATTCTTTCTCCAAATTCWATCGAATTTAAGTGTTGTTTCCGATTTTTGCTCTTATTACAAACAAAAACTTTATGAATATCGTCAAATCCTCGTCCCATTATGCCCTTTTCCGTATGTCCCAAGTCAAAAGTGTGGCACAATTCGTGCAAAACTGAACCTAAAGTTGTCGAAAAGCACGCTCCTAAAGTACCTCTGTAGCAACTGTCATCCATGAATTTTGCTCGATCGACTGGTATTTCACATTCAAACTTTTCGATAACGTGAGAGATGTCTTCAGGCCATGTGTAGAGACAAGCCGAGCCGAAAAGGGCCAAACCTCCTCCCCCCAAAGCAACGTAAGCTTGCGTAATCTTGACAATTTCATCGTGGCTGAAATTCTCACGGTATTTTTCGCCACAATACCTGCAAAAACTACACTAGACTCCTGTTACATATTTTAGAATTTTATTTCTTAAAAAAATACAAAGTGAAGGTGTACGAAAAAAAGCACTTCTAGTTAACACCCTGTATAACCAAAGTAAATAAAAAATTCATCACGATAGAGCAAAATCTTTTTTATTAAGGTGCAAAATTTGACATTTCGATTATTGGTAAAATCAAACTTCAAGAATTTAATTCAAATCAAGTCAAGTAGGTGTTTTCAAATTTTTGCAAAATTTGGCAACACCRCAGCCAAAATCTATAAAATAAAACAGTTATTTATGGTACAAATGTGTTTTATTATTATTTATTATAAAAGAGTCATGCCTAGGATAGGTGGGATATTTTTCTTAAATTTTAATAACAGTTTGAGTTGGCAATCGTGAATTTTATTTTTAACCTGTAACTTTTGCTTGTTGACAGAACAACATTGACGTGTCTGTCAAGCAGTGTTGCAAACATCCAATTTCTGTTGCCAACTCAACCAGTCATTGTTGATCACTCTGTATACAGAATGGTCCAAAAGTCTGGCGAAACTATCAATTTTTTTTGGCAGATAAATTTATAGGTGTATAATGGCTATAAAAATGCTATTAAAAAAAATTGAATATTAAATAATTGTTTACACTTACGAGATAAACATAGCAACAAATTTTTTTTCAAATGGAAACCTTCCACAATTTTTTTTAGATAACGAGCTCGTTACAAGAATTGTTGGTGTGCAAACATTTTTTTGTAAACCTCATACTTTTTTGTTAAAAAAACGACATAATAGAAGGCGTGGTTACCACTGGTCGGTCTTGACGTACCACCCCATGGTCGGTGGAAAAAAAATTTGACAACATGTAAAGTTTATAATTTTTTTAACATAAATTGTAACATTTATTTGTGTACATTTATAAAATGCATAAACATATCTTTGGAAAACAATAAATAAAAAACGTTTTCATTTAAGAAAAAAATGATTAGCATGGTAATCTCAAAAGTTTAAACAATTAATTAACATAAAAAAATATTTTGGCATCGCTCCTTTACAACCTTTAAACATTTATTAATTTATTTCCAAAAAAAAACTGGTAGTTTACTCAAAAAAAATTTCTTTAATTTTTGTAAGTTAACCATTTTTTTAACAAAAAAGTGTGAGGTTTACAAAAAAAATTTACACAGCAACAATTCTTGTAACAAGCTCGTTGTCTAAAAAAAAATTTGGTAGGTTTCCATAAAAAAAAAGTTACAAAGTTTATCTCGAAGTGTAAACAATTAATTAATATTCAATTTTTTTTGAATAGCATTTTTATAGCATTGCACACCTATAAGTTTATTTGCCAAAAAAATTGATAGTTTCGCGAGAATAAAATCGTTTCCAGACTTTTGGACCACCTGTATATCCACAAACCTCGTGCAGGAGAGGAATCCCAAAAACTTAATTTTCTCATGTCCCAAGTCAGAATTGACAATCTCACGCCCCAAATAAGTCCATAACTCTTCTTGTGTCATTTCCCAAGCATCACGAAAATTCAGCTGACTATGAAAAATTTTACAGTCAAGTAATTTAAAAGTTTTTCTACCGAAATTCTCTTCATACAGTTTTTCAGCAATAACACTTTGTAATAGTTTAACGCCTAAATTAATTCTTTTACAAGCACTAACGCTGTCATTAGGTTCAGTTTTCGGTGCTTGAAATGTTCCATCGTGTTGATTACAAATTATGTATAGGGGAAGTACCGCAAAGTCCCTTTCGCTCTGAATGTAATTCAAATTTAAAGTAACACTTGAAGAACAATAATTCATCATAATGGTATTTTTGCCATGGTTTAATTCTACTAAAACTTTAAATTTACTATCAGTTACTTTGTAAAGAAATTCTGAAAAATTAATTTTTATTTCAATTTGTGGCTTTTGGCACTTGATTTCAGGACTGCTTTTTATTATTCCTTTGATTATTACAACGGAATAATAAACAGTTTCTCCGGATTTAAAATTGTTGATTGTAATTTCATGAACACATGACTAAAATTAAATACCAATAATTCATTATTCAAAAAATTAGTGATTATACCATTTCCTCCACGCAGGTTTCTGTAAATACTTATCAAATCGTACGTCAGAGGCCGCCGACTGTACGAAATCGAAATTTCTCCTCCAGATAACCTCACTTGCCAATTATTTAATTTTGATAACAAATCCGGTTGAAATTTTCTTCAAACAAAACACTACCAATTATTACTTTTTTAACTACACTTAATTTTAGTCTTGTATTCTCAATTTTTAAAAAAGGTGGAACTTCACCGAAAACATTTAGAAAATCGCATGTGCTTAGGAGACCCAACGCGGTATTTTCAAAAATGTTCGTAAATATTGTGACAAACAAAACATATTTTTAGCAACTTTTACTTTCTAAACAAGTAGTATTATGATGTTAACGACTCAATAAAAAGCAAAAGTTATTTGTATCTGGGGAAAACCAAAGGTTTAACTTAAAAATTACATAAAAGTAGAAATAGAAATTTCTAATTGCAAACTTACTGTTCGATTGACGTCAATACTTACAATTATTACGAAAGTACAAAATTTATGTTTGTAAAATCTGATCATTATTACACGTAATATCAAGCTGATAAACAACAGCTTGTATTTTTTTTCTCTACAGAAAAAATAATAGTAAGAATTTGCAAAAACCACATGGTCAGTTAAATTTCTGATCAAACTCACATGTAAGTTATTAAGTTGGCAACACTAAATAATGTGGAAATTGAAGGTGGGAGAATTTCTATTTCTCTATTGTCTTGTCTACTTTTTTTTATCAAATGACAGTCTATATATTTTTTCCATTTTTTATCTGCCTTATTAAATGTTACAAAACCGTTTAGACCGGCATTTTCACGTTTTCGCAAAATTTTGAAAATACACACTTTCCCCCATTGACACTCACTAATCACTCGAAATTTTAAAAATTGCGCACTACTAAATGTCTATTAGCACTCGAAAAAACACAACACGCACTCACTGGTCATTGGAGTTTATAAAACAAAACAAAGAATTAACCATTTATTCTAGAAAAAAAATTAAATTCGTACCTACAATACGTAGTGTGTAATTCCTGCTTATGTTTCTTGAATAGACAGAATCACAGAAAAGTTTTCGTTAAAATTATTATTGAAGGAAATTTGGTCTCTTCTTCCACAAATTTTGAAAAAGAATTTGAAAGAAATTCATTTAAAATTTTTAGTATTATTTAATAATGCAAGAGTACTATTTTGCATATTGATAAAGAACGCATTGTCCTATTTTTGGATATAAGTTTTATTAGCTTTTATTATACACGGTGCTAACTAGAAATTAGAAATTGCACAATATGCAAACAAATTCTAATAAAATTTTGGTGTTTTTTTTACTAATAGTTTTTGCTAATTAACTACTTATTTGTCTAAACTATTGTGAAACATCTATTTATTGAACTCACAAACAGATCTATAATTGTTATGATTGACAAAATATATTAGCAAAATATTATTGAGTTGATCTGATATCCCGATAAGAGTATTTTCATTGATTATCAAAACTATATCATATAGGTGTCTTTTTTAAAGTAATTTTCAGTAAATAATTAAAAAACACGACTAGTAGTAATAATTTTAACTTTTTTGGTACAAATACACAAAACTATATGTATTCAGGAGTTTTCCTTTTAGAACCAAAATAAAATAAAAATAGTTTTAGGAGTTGCGATTATTTCTAGATGTCATACCCTGTATATACAAATATCGTATGATAACATAAAAACAAAATACACATTCACGTCAGATGTGTTGATAATTTCGCAAAAGTCCTCAAATACGCGCGTTTGTATTTTTTTTTTCTTCTTCTAATATAGCATAAAATTGATAGGAATATTTGCATGCGTGAAATTTGATCACCATATATTTAGAATCAATGACACAGTAAAATAACCAGTGTGAACTAAGGGTTATCTGTAATTTTTTTTGCAGTGTGTGTAGGAACAAGGCATTTAAATTTATTACTCACTATCTTCAAAAACGTGGTGTGAGTACTACAAATCCGATTACGTAACATTTTTAATTAAATTGAAAGTTTTTTTATATAATTTTTTAAGTGCGACCTTTTAGTTTTTCAAGTTCGCCATAATCATGACAAGTTCTTTAACCCCAAAAATCCGGCAATTAGAACAATATTTTGCAATTTGTGCTTGTCTGCTAAGTGACGGTTATAGATAAGATTTGTAAAAATTAAATACAATCTATGCGTGATAAGTGTTATTACAGAAATTACATAAATTGTTACTTATAATTTTTTATAATCTCCTATCACGTATATTCATCAAGCTAACTTAAATTTTTAGATGACTGTTTTCAATTTTTTTAATTAAAGAATACGTATTTGGAATCTACGTTAGAACGTGTCTACAAATCTATTTTAAGTTTTCTGAAACTCAGAATTTTTGAGTATTTTTTTATTTTTAACATTTTAATCACAAAACTTACAAATTGTTATTACATTTTTTTCTGAAAATAAACCGAATCAGCTATGAGAATAAATGAACTAATAAATAATAATAAATCAAGCCTGAGTTAAGAAATAAGCGAAAATTAGAACTCATAAGTTAAAAACGCACATCTCATTAAAAATAAATAAATGAAAACACATCACCGAAAACCGATGATTTATTTCGTAGGAAAGGTATTATTACGGCTATGAGCTATAATTTGGCAATAAATTATAGAATATATAAATATATATAAATATAAATTGAATAATTATCATAATTATCCTTTAAAGTGTTTGTTTACTATTGATAAACTGATTTTTTTCAAACAAAAAATTTTTGTACTTGTGCGACTATAAAAAAATTTGGTATTTTATTCAGTTCCCAAAAACTTATAAAACTTAAATTTTATTAAACTAACTACACTATTGATAACGTTTTAACATCTCCAATTTTTTTTAAAAAAAAAGCATGTCCAAAAAAATATTTTTATGTAACTTTGTAACTTTAATAAGTTGTCAACATTTTTTTCAAAAAAAAAAAAATCTGAAGCGTCATTCTTGATCTTTCCATCACTTTTTAGCTTAATCGTGGTCTAGGGAATATAGCATTAGCGTCTTGGCAAAACTTTCTGTTCCACCCTGTATGTATTAATTTTTAAAATGTTCGTCTAACAAAACTTTTTCAAATATAAATTTATTTACTGGTGACTAAAAAACCAATACTTATATTTATTGACTAACAACTTGAACAAACTCAAAAAATTAAGCCACGGCATCTTCTTTTCGGAATATATTAACCTTGACACGCAACAACTTGTAATACAACGATTTGGTGTTTGATTTTTTWACAAAATTAATCTTCGTTGTATTATTGTTTATTTGTGGTAAACAGTGAAATGAGCTTTGCATCTTACCACAACATGATTGTTCGGGGTCAGTCAGTCTAGTAACAATCTCAAGGTATTTAAAACACAAAAAGGAATAATTATAAATCGATTGACTTAAATTCATAAAATTAGTTTAATGAGATATGAATCTGAATCAGAAATAAATAAAAGTTTCCAGTTAAGGCGGAATGTCATTTACATAATATGTTACCTCACAATATTATACAAACATAATTCAAAAATAAAATCAAAAGAAATTGACTCAGCAAAACAACACACGTTCCCATTTATTATTAATAATTTCACATTAAAAAATTTTGAGCTAAAGTTTGGCTAAAAATGTATGTGTTTAATCGTACATTTTAATATCGTCCCTGACCTGACTTTTTATACGTCTCGCATTTTTTTTTATTTATAATCATCGCATGTAAGTACACATGCGAATACGAAATTCCCATCACGTTGACCAATGGCTAAAAAAGTTTCACCAAATCACTCAACCGGTTGGAAATATTTTGGCGCCGTTTTTTCCCTCTTTTTGTTTTAATTACCATTTAAATTGGGTCCACAATTGGGGCCTCCGTCGGGGTTTCGCATATTTTTTCATTCTCGCCTCCCATAATTCTCCTTCACCTTGAGCTTTTGTCAGCTAATTCGAATGCATTTCGTAATGTGCAACACCAGAATAGATGCAAACTAATTGATTTGCATTCTGGTTAAATGTCAAGGCTGCATCCGGGTCCTGGGGCGTTTCAGGCTTCAAGTTTTTCAAAAAAATAAATAAAACGCGATGTTACGTCAGAAGCGCGACAACTCTCGCTCCCAACAATAGCACAAATATCACTGATAAACAATTATGTAATTGCGCAATTATTATGAACTAGTTATGCAAATCGTATGTATATGAAATTGTAATCTACCATCGATGAGAAAAAAGCGCAATAAATGTAATAATAGTGTCGTTTGGATATTAATTATCGATATTTATATACAATCGTAATTATTGATATGAGGTTCAACGGAGTTCACTGGTTTTAATACAGTTTATTGAGTGGAAAACCTTGATGAGACATACTTATTTTTTGAAAATCCCAACTTAACGCGCCTTATATGTAGCTGCAAAGTGCACTTTTTAACCAAACACGGTTATTTATAGCAACTCAATTATTTATTATTAATATCACGCTATTCATTACACTCCAAATTATAAATGAAAGCATTCAAAAAACGATCTGAAACAACAGGCAAAAGATCAAAGCTAATTGATGACAAATTCGGTGATTCCATTCAAAAAGCCACAATAAATTTACAAASACAAATCAAAATCGTTTACTTATTTATATTTTTGTGCTTTTAATTTATGTACATGTTTAAGTATTAAATTTTATTTACATACAATCTAAAAAAAACAAAAAAATAGAGACGTAGGAAGCTAGGGTTTGAAGGGTTTCTAGTTTTTCGTTAGTATGCAGGGTGTTAAAAAAAGATTGTAAAATATTTAAAAAGGTAACAGTATGGATCAAAATAAATGTTTCAAAAAACAAATCTCCGAAACCGTTACTTTGCGGACCTATGTTTATTAAGACTTTTTGTTTGTTTTGGTTCATACTATTACCTCCTAAAATATTTTACAATCTTTTTAACACCCTGTATATAGTTGTAGATGATAAAATGAGATAAAATGTAATGATGTTCTTGGAAAAAATATCTTATTCAACTTTAAATTTTCAAAATTTTTAAATTATTTAATTATTTTGAGTTTGTTCATCTTTGACTTTGAATAGAAAATCGGAATAAACTTTAAATTTTGTCTCAATCTTTGAAAGGATTAATTTTTTATTTAACCAAAAATATGAATTTTTGCAACTGTTTTTTCTTTTCTTCTTTTTAATAATATAAAAATAATACTGATAAATTTATTTATTGTTTTT